GATCACCACGGGTATGGTGCTGAAAAAACTAGAAACATAATTGGGGCGAACCGTGATTCGAACCCACAATCATAGGTTTCTGGCGTGCACAAGGGACGCAACTCTGCACAGTTTCCGACATAGGATACCGTGTATAGGGAGTAGACCGACTCGCTCTTTCTAGGTATTGCTAGCAATGCTCTATACAGGTTCACAGGAGGGTGTAACTGGTTACGGTGTTGTGGCTTTACATTCGGGTCACGTCGTCCTCGTTCAAATGGAGTAGAATCTAACAACTTAAATACAACTTGAAATATAGAATTCATTACATATAGATTCAAAACGTCAACGCCAGAGACTAACCCGTCTCGACTATCTGCCGAAACAGAAAGGCAAAATAGTGATGAAAACTATATGAATGGATCACTGCAAATCGGTGATGACTCCAGGTGTTCCGAAAAAGGGTGGGTGTATCCTGCTTTCTCCGTAGCACCAGCCCTTCACACGTGGTGTAGCATAAAACATGAATATAACATATGAAATGTCTGGTCTCGTACCTCTTTAACTATATGTGGAACTAAACAGTGTCCTGCTACGAGTCCTGGGAATAGAATATAGAACATATACAATAGTTGTACTACGCCACTGAATAAATGTGCGCTGTTCGGGAAAAAAAGGAAGAATGCAGTTGTATATGTATTATTAATGTTAATATCCGTACTTTATAAAGAGACATATCGTGTACATTGTTCAGCAACTACCTGCTACAACGTCCAGCACACAGACACAGCAGGACACCGAGTCTGTGCCCCGCCATGCTGACGAGTAACATGTCCACCAGGAACTATTTCGCAGTGTCCTACATTGACGATGTGTAATTCTATTTGTTCAGGGAACAAATTATCCACCAGACAATGCATGCCAATGGGCACAACATACCTCTAATGATGAATTTATGACCTCTACTGGTAGATCTGCATATGGATGTAAAATGCAGTTAGCAGCTGACTCATATCTAACTATTGTGAATGTTAATATATACACACAGCCGTTTTGCACATATTTCCTTCACATCAGATATATTTTATCAGTTACAGTCGTATGTTGTTTATATCCGTAGTGTGTATGGCACATATAGACTTGCCAACTGTCAGACAATTCCACATTGAACATATCACAACAGATGAAAAGTGATGGAATAGTTCTAGCAGATATGGCATATATCTTAGGATGATTTTCTTCCATAAAATGCCCACGACTTCAGGAAGGTACTGTAAATACTTATGTATGTTAAATCTTTCCCCTTTTTGCCCTTTTTTATATAAAGCAAGCCTCTCTTCAAATTACATGTTCAGATTATTTCCGAGACGATTATGATTCTTTCAACAACACTGAAATATTAGTTGTCCATTATGTGAACTTTCTCTAACTGTATGTTTTGTATTCATAACTTAATAAATATATTTATTTATAGTAACTAATATGTGAAACGCATTATTCAAATAAATAAAGCGACAACGCCCTTTCCATGTCCAATAGAAATATCTGCATAAAGCAGAGTCGAGTGTATGATTCCGACTATATCATGAGCATGTGTTTATGAATCACTATCAAACAGTAATGATTCCAGGGGTTCGCGAAAAGGGGAGAGTGTCCCGACCCACAAACACATGCAAAGGCAAGCCAATTGTTATTCTGAAAAAAACACGTGAACATATGGTACAAGTTTGCATCGGACATCACTGATACGTCAAATTTGAAAATGTGTCGTCAGAGCAATAAAACATGAAATACAATGTATCAAACAAAAAGGTATCACATTTTCTGTAAATACTAACATTTGATTATAAGACGAGCTCTCCGTTAAAAATTGGGCAACAAAAGTCAAATTGCACTCACACAGTCACTTGAATTTAGGGATCTGAGGACCATTTTAAGTCTTCCATGGAGTCATCTTTATATCTATTACATATTTTTTTCATGTAATACGGTTTCATAATATGTTATGATTTGTCATGAAACGTGCACGGTTTCCATATCGATGTTTGTGTTTGTACAGTTTGGTTACTCATGAAGATAAGAATACGAAAAGATATTGTCGTGATCCATAGCAAGTTCCAGTGGCTTAGTTTGACGTATGTCAGAGTTGTGCCCACTTTTCCTTTATGCGCGTATATGCCTATCTGTCTGTGAAGTTATAAGAAGCTATGACGGTAGTAGTTGGGGACGAAAGTGGAGTAAGAATCAAGACTTAAACAATTAATGCTGGGTTGACTGGAAACAACATTTCTACATCCAAGATGTTGTCACAGCTGCGTGTGCAGCTTTGCCTCTATTATCAACTCAACCAGGACATCGTGCGCAGCTTTGCCTTCATTATCAACTCCACAAGGACATCGTGTGCAGCTTTGCCTCTATTATCAACTCAACCAGGACATCGTGCGCAGCTTTGCCTTCATTATCAACTCCACAAGGACATCGTGTGCAGCTTTGCCTCTATTATCAACTCCACCAGGACATCGTGTGCAGCTTTGCCTCTATTATCAACTCCACCAGGACATCCTGTGCAGCTTTGCCTCTATTATCAACTCCACCAGGACATCGTGTGCAGCTTTGCCTCTATTATCAACTCCACCAGGACATCGTGTGCAGCTTTGCCTCTATTATCAACTCCACCAGGACATGGTGTGCAGCTTTGCCTCTATTATCAACTCCACCAGGACATCGTGTGCAGCTTTGCCTCTATTATCAACTCCACCAGGACATCGTGTGCAGCTTTGCCTCTATTATCAACTCCACCAGGACATCGTGTGCAGCTTTGCCTCTATTATCAACTCCACCAGGATATCGAGTGCAGCTTTGCCTCTATTATCAACTCCACCAGGACATCGTGTGCAGCTTTGCCTCTATTATCAACTCCACCAGGACATCGTGTGCAGCTTTGCCTCTATTAACAACTCCACCAGGACATCGTGTGCAGCTTTGCTTCTATTATCAACTCCACCAGGACATCGTTTGCAGCTTTGCCTATATTATCAACTCCACCAGGACATCGTGTGCAGCTTTGCCTCTATTATCAACTCCACCAGGACATCGTGTGCAGCTTTGCCTCTATTATCAACTCCACCAGGACATCGTGTGCAGCTTTGCCTCTATTATCAACTCCACCAGGACATCGTGTGCAGCTTTGCCTCTATTATCAACTCCACCAGGACATCGTGTGCAGCTTTGCCTCTATTATCAACTCCACCTGGACATCTTGTGCAGCTTTGCCTCTATTATCAACTCCACCAGGACATCGAGTGCAGCTTTGCCTCTATTATCAACTCCACCAGGACATCTTGTGCAGCTTTGCCTCTATTATCAACTCCACCAGGACATCGTGTGCAGCTTTGCCTCTATTATCAACTCCACCAGGACATCGTGTGCGGCCTTCCTGTCATCACACCCTGATGGTTGATTGTTCATACTATCGAACAGTGGTCTGTCTGATTCAGAATCATTTGTCTGTAACTTAAAGTATCACTGAGATCACTACAGGGTGACTGTCAGATACCATCCATCTTACAACGAGTTGTTTCAAAACGTATCGAGCGAGAACGCGTTAGATACGTTGAGAAACGTAAGATATGTAAGATTTGTAAGATTAACGGTATACACGAGTCCAGTAATCTTTCTCCTTACATCCCCCCAAAACGAACAGTCTATGCTTATGATCGCAGCGACGCATTATTACATACATTATAACACAACGGTCATGAGTGACGCCATCCAGCTTACTGCCTACTACCCATACCTAGTGTGACCCTCCACAAAAATAGTTTCAGTCATATCTGTGTCAAGAAGATGATGATAATGCAATCTAGATGAGATTAATTATCCAGACTTGTTTGTAATATTATTATTACTGTTTGCCGATGATGTTATTCTTGTCTCTGACACAGTAACTGGTTTACAGAACCAACTTAATATTCTTGAAAAGTTTGCAGATTCACATGGATTAAGGGTAAATTTAGATAAAACGAGTGTTGTTGTATTTAGAGGAGGAGGGCGGTTATCTGTTCATGAGAAATGGTTCTATAAAGGCAAACGTGTTTCAACCGCCAACTCCTATAGATATCTTGGGTTTGTATTCTCATATATATCAAAGATGAACCAATGTGTTTCAGATCTAGCATCAAGGGGTAAACGAGCTTTAATGGAAATATTTCGCAATCTACGGAAGATTGGTTTTGTTGACACTTCAGTTTTCGTTAACATAATTGATACTCAGATTCAACCTATTCTTTTATATGGTGCGGAAATATGGGGTGCTGACGGATTTGAAAAAATAGAACAAGTGCATATTATGGCTTGTAAGAAGTTTCTTAACGTTGGTTTGCAAACCCCAAATGCTATTGTGTATGGGGAATGCGGTCGGTACCCACTACATGTAAATGCTATGTGTCGTTCTGTAAAGTATTGGCTAAAAGTGATTAAAATGGACGAAGATGGGATACCAAGAAAATCTTAAAATACGCTTGTATATAACGACAAGTGTGGTCGTCATAACTATGCTTCTTCTATTCGTTCCATGTTATTTTCTCACGGATTTGGAGTAGTTTGGCTCAGTCAAGCTGTTGGCGATAAACCATCATTCATAAATAGTTTTAAAAACATTTTGATAAATATGTTCTACCAATCATGGAATAGTACTATCAAGGCTAGTTCTAGGTCCATCCTGTATAAAGACTCCTGGAACCAGAAAAATACCTTTCCATTGTTATTGCAATAAAGTATCGAAATGTTACGATAAGGCTTAGAGCCGGGCTACTAAGACCTAAGGTAAACGAAGGTAGATGGGCTGATGTTGATTTACGTTTATGGCCCATATATGAAACAAGTATAGAGAATGAATATCATTTTACTTTAGAATGTGAACATTAAAACGATATTAGACAACTGTATTTACCAACAACTGTAAATCTGTAAATATTTACCTAACATTACCTTTCGTTCATGTACCACACTATTTCAAATGTATGTATTGTATATTGGCCAGTGGCCTTAGTACAAATAAAAGACTTCTTCTTCTTCTTCTAAGTAACATTTATTAACACTCTATAACCGAAAAGGTTCGACACAGACAGAGGTTTTATCAATTACTTACAAAGAGGAAAGTAGTCCGTCAAAATCTGACCTTAGGTCATCACCAATAACCATGCTACCATAACTGAATACTACACTGGAGAAAACAGGTGATGCAGGTCTGAGACGTTCATCATTTTGGTGAAACCCACGAACACCAGTATGGTGTTGACAAGCCCAGAAATATAATCAGGCTGATACTAGGATTCGAACCCATGATCATAGGTTCCTGTACGCCTGAGGGACGCAACTCTTCACAATGAACTTCAGCAACTTACAGGCCTAGGTGTCCCGTGCCCTCTGCTGACATATACACCGAACGCTTCGACTCTGTATCACATCATTTACACTACCTACAACACCGTAAATGAACCTGAAAAATGCAATAGTGTTTGAAGAAGGATCATTTTACAATCCGTTATTGGGAATAACTATGCGACATATGTGAGGGATAAATATATATCGACACTTTGTACACCATCATTCCCCGTGGTGAACTCGTATATATCTTTATTATGCCTCAAAGTGAGACTGACCAATCAGAAAGCAGAACTACTGACCCCATATGAGCCCCTATACAGTCAGTAAAAATCCAAGATGGTTGTTACTGACCTAATAGGAGACCGTACCGTCAGTAACAGCCATTTTGGATTTTCCAACACCCACCTCAAATACTTCACATGTATATTCTGGTACATAAATTCGTTATTCGACACTGTTTTGTAATTTAATATCATAATTGTTTTGTGTACAAGGACGTTAATGTTTTTTATCACGTTCGTGACTTTAATAAAGATTATATAAAGTTAAAATTATCAACAAAGTTTGGCCTCTGAAGTAATCAACTGTAGGCTGTAACATCTCATAATGTTCTGAGTGGACCCTGTCTAGCTAGATGCGGACATCACTGTTCTGGTAATCAACTGTAGTCTGTAACGTCTCATAATGTTCATTGTGGACCCTGTCTGGCTAGATGCGGACATCACTGTTCTGGAAATCAACTGTAGGCTGTAACGTCTCATAATGTTCTGAGTGGACCCTGTCTAGCTAGATGCGGACATCACTGTTCTGGTAATTAACTGTAGGCTGTAACGTCTCATAATGTTCTGTGTGGGCCCTGTCTAGCTCGATGCGGACATCACTGTTCTGGTAATTAACTGTAGGCTGTAACGTCTCATAATGTTCTGTGTGGGCCCTGTCTAGCTCGATGCGGACATCACTGTTCTGGTAATTAACTGTAGGCTGTAACGTCTCATAATGTTCCGTGTGAATCCTGTCCAGCTAGATGCGGACATCACTGTTCTGGTAATCAACTGTAGGCTGTAACGTCTCATAATGTTCCGTGTGAATCCTGTCCAGCTAGATGCGGACATCACTGTTCTGGTAATCAACTGTAGGCTGTAACGTCTCATAATGTTCTGAGTGGACCCTCTCTAGCTAGATGCGGACATCACTATTCTGATAATCAACTGTAGGTTGTAACGTCTCATAATGTTCTGTGTGGACCCTGTCTAGCTAGATGCGGACATCACTGTTCTGGTAATCACCTGTAGGCTGTAACGTCTCATAATGTTCTGAGTGGACCCTGTCTAGCTAGATGCGGACATCACTGTTCTGGTAATCAACTGTAGTCTGTAACGTCTCATAATGTTCATTGTGGACCCTGTCTGGCTAGATGCGGACATCACTGTTCTGGAAATCAACTGTAGGCTGTAACGTCTCATAATGTTCTGAGTGGACCCTGTCTAGCTAGATGCGGACATCACTGTTCTGGTAATTAACTGTAGGCTGTAACGTCTCATAATGTTCTGTGTGGGCCCTGTCTAGCTCGATGCGGACATCACTGTTCTGGTAATTAACTGTAGGCTGTAACGTCTCATAATGTTCTGTGTGGGCCCTGTCTAGCTCGATGCGGACATCACTGTTCTGGTAATTAACTGTAGGCTGTAACGTCTCATAATGTTCCGTGTGAATCCTGTCCAGCTAGATGCGGACATCACTGTTCTGGTAATCAACTGTAGGCTGTAACGTCTCATAATGTTCCGTGTGAATCCTGTCCAGCTAGATGCGGACATCACTGTTCTGGTAATCAACTGTAGGCTGTAACGTCTCATAATGTTCTGAGTGGACCCTCTCTAGCTAGATGCGGACATCACTATTCTGATAATCAACTGTAGGTTGTAACGTCTCATAATGTTCTGTGTGGACCCTGTCTAGCTAGATGCGGACATCACTGTTCTGGTAATCACCTGTAGGCTGTAACGTCTCATAATGTTCTGTGTGGACCCTGTCTGGCTAGATGCGGACATCACTGTTCTGGTAATCAACTGTAGGCTGTAACGTCTCATAATGTTCTGTGTGGACCCTGTCTGGCTAGATGCGGACATCACTGTTCTGGTAATCAACTGTAGGCTGTAACGTCTCATACTATTCTGTGTGGACCCTGTCTGGCTAGATGCGGACATCACTGTTCTGGTAATCACCTGTAGGCTGTAACGTCTCATAATGTTCTGTGTGGACCCTGTCTGGCTAGATGCGGACATCACTGTTCTGGTAATCAACTGTAGGCTGTAACGTCTCATAATGTTCTGTGTGGACCCTGTCTGGCTAGATGCGGACATCACTGTTCTGGTAATCAACTGTAGGCTGTAACGTCTCATACTATTCTGTGTGGATCCTGTCTGGCTAGATGCGGACATCACTGTTCTGGTAATCAACTGTAGGCTGCAACGTCTCATACTATTCTGTGTGGACCCTGTCTGGCTTGATGCGGACATCACTATTCTGGTAATCAACTGTAGGCTGTAATGTCTCATAATGTTCATTGTGGACCCTGTCTGGCTAGATGCGGACATCACTATTCTGGTAATCAACTGTAGGCTGTAACGTCTCATACTGTTCTGTGTGGACCCTGTCTGGCTAGATGCGGACATCACACTATTCTGGTAATCAACTGTAGGCTGTAACGTCTCATGATATTCTGAGTGGACAATTCTAGCTAGATGCGGACACCACTGTTCTAGTAATCAACTGTAGGCTGTAACGTCTCATAATGTTCTGAGTGGACAATTCTAGCTAGATGCGGACACCACTATTCTGGTAATCAACTGTAGGCTGTAATGTCCGTGTGGTTCCTGTCCGGCTAGATGCGGACATCACTGTTCTGGTAATTAACTGTAGGCTGTAACGCCTCATAATGTTCCGTGTGGTTCCTGTCCAGCTAGATGCGGACATCACTGTTCTGGTAATTAACTGTAGGCTGTAACGCCTCATAATGTTCCGTGTGGTTCCTGTCCGGCTAGATGCGGACATCACTGTTCTGGTAATTAACTGTAGGCTTTAACGCCTCATAATGTTCCGTGTGGTTCCTGTCCGGCTAGATGCGGACATCACTGTTCTGGTAATTAACTGTAGGCTGTAACGCCTCATAATGTTCCGTGTGGTTCCTGTCCGGCTAGATGCGGACATCACTGTTCTGGTAAATAACTGTAGGCTGTAACGCCTCATAATGTTCCGTGTGGTTCCTGTCCGGCTAGATGCGGACTTCACTGTTCTGGTAATTAACTGTAGGCTTTAACGCCTCATAATGTTCCGTGTGGACCCTGTCTAGCTAGATGCGGACATCACTGTTCTGGTAATTAACTGTAGGCTGCAACGCCTCATAATGTTCCGTGTGGTTCCTGTCCGGCTAGATGCGGACATCACTGTTCTGGTAATTAACTGTAGGCTGCAACGCCTCATAATGTTCCGTGTGGACCCTGTCTAGCTAGATGCGGACATCACTGCTCTGGTAATCAACTGTAGGCTGCAACGTCTCATAATGTTCCGTGTGGACCCTGTCTAGCTAGATGCGGACATCACTGTTCTGGTAATCAACTGTAGGCTGTAACGTCTCATAATGTTCCGTGTGGACCCTGTTTAGCTTGGTGTAGTCTTGATCAGGCAGGACATCATACGTGGGGAGTTCTACAGGAGGGGCAGGGCTTGTCTCGGGTGTTCTAGAATTCTGTCTTGGTGTATTCTTGGTTATCCTGAATTGAACATTTATAATAAAATCAAAATGACCGTCGTTAACATTTCTACAGAATCATGTACACATCAGTAAGTGTTCTGTTGGTTTCGACAGCACACACGTGGCTACATTCGACATTTACCTTTTATTTGTGGAATCAACATCCACTGGGATGCTTTTGTATTTGATCTACTAACGATCCCAAGGAGGAATCTGAAAATTTTGGCCAGGGATCTGGAATGAACTCCCTCTAGAAATTACACTTGAAAGTACTTCCAGCTAGTGAATCTTTCACAGTTGCTCCGATCACTACAATAACTATTATTGCCCCTCACAATTTTCTGCAACTGGAAGGTTGTTCACAATCAGTTGTAATTTTAATCTCCTTTTGCATGTAAATAATGTACCTACTGATGTATGGAACCAAGCGCATTAGAAGTACTTCTTCTTCGTCATCATATAACATCATAACTCTAGCACCTGTCCAAGGTAACGCACCTGAAGTCTCCCTTCCTCCACAGACAGACCACGCCTACAACCATGACCAAGACCACCAGCATAGTGAGAGACCCAATGATGCCAGCTCCTGCTGGGGACATACTTGTGACTGGAGACAAACTGCTCACAACTTGAAAGTAAGAAAGGATAAAGGGTTAGAGAAAATCTTTCACCCTAGCAAACTGCTCACACGTACTGAGTAAAATGATTCCTATGCTAAAGAAACTTCTACGCCGGCATACATTCTTATAAATAACTCCACAAGTGGTCAACAGGTAAATTCTGAGTGTGCTGAATTGCTGATGGTGAATTGTGCTAAAGACGTGTGTCATCAATAAATCACACTTGCTTGTTTTGAGTGCGCAGCGTCCACCTTTAACATCTTGACATCACATACCACTCTGGGTACAATCCTCTCCTGTCCATCCTGACTGGCACCCATCACTACACAAGCCTGTGTCCCAGGGACAGGTGCCCGACCCTCCGTCACACATCCGGGCTCTGCAGCAGCCTTTTCATCCGGCACCATACTCCACATCTTGGACACAGCCTGTTGGTATAATTTATCTGCATGTAAAAATAACAAGTCAAACTTGCCACGTACACAGAAGAAGGCAATAAAATGAGTTGAATTGAATTATTTTGGACTTTGTTGATTTTATTTAAGAGTAACGTGATTCGAGGGGTAACATTTGAGGTAGGAATGAAAGATTGTGTGTCCAGCGAGGCGATACATGGATCCTCAATTGATGTGCCATGAGATTTAATCCGATCATATTGTTTCCAAACAGAATATTTCCACATCTCTAACCTGTTGTGCAATCGACATCTTTCCATCCGGGACTACAGCCTCCTTTACACCATCCAGTCACGTGATCACATACAGACTGGGACGTGTCTCTACAATGTCTGGCTGAGCAGCTTCTTGTGCAATCGTCTCCATACGTATCGACGCATTCTTCATAGAAACATGCATTGTATATTGTGTCTGAATTTCAAATTAATGTCTGAGTTGGGGTTTTTTCAAATTGTTAAAACTATTTTACAGAATACATCTGTTCAAAATGCTGGTCTAGATACTCGATGTATCCTTACCCTGTGTGCAGTCCGGTGTTTGGTAGCCTGCCTGACATCCACCTGAACATTCACCAGTTGCATGGTTACAGCTGGAGGTGCTGTCCTTACACAGTCTGTCCGTGCACCGCTTGGAGCAGCGTCGTCCGTATTCTCCCATTGGACATACTGAAACAGCAGATACAGAGGATATGGCAATTTCCACGAAGCAATTAAATTGTGTAAAATACATTTATAAAAGGTACAATTCCACCATGTTGAACATACGACATAAGAATGCATCCAAATCCTTGTGTGAATGTAAGCTAATATCAAAAAGAAAGTATACCAAGAGTTTGAAAGACTATGAAAGAAAAACAAAAGCATGTTGAAAATCAATTAAAATATTTCATAAGAGTTATGTTTAAGTATAATGGGCACAACTGCTCATGAAATGGACTGACTGAGACACAAAGACATACTTTCTTGGTGCTTTTGGTTGATGTGTTTATAACGTGCCGTGTCACCAGTTTTAGAAAATACTTTTACAGGTGCATATCGTTTTACCTAGTCCAAAGTCGTTGTGGCAAAATTGTAAATGTATCTTGCTTTTTGTTACCCAATACATTTGCTTGTATTCGTGAAACATATTTAAGTCTTAATTCATATATGAATTATTAAGTTATCAAAATAGAGGGAAATAGTTCAGTTGGTAGACCTTCTTTTTGGAGATTAGTTTAGTTTAGTGTTTATTGTTTGTATTTCTATTCTACTGAATGGTAATTATTCACGCATTAGTCATAGGTAATTGCTATTGGTTCTTAACTCACTGATATTGCAACTGTTGCCAAACCAGCCCAGCATACACATTCCACTTGGACAGATGCCGCTCACATAGTTACACACCTCACCGTCACAGTGGCAGCAGTTGTCACAGTCAGAGCCGAAAGTACCGGGACCACACACTGTCAAATGGATGTTTGGCTCTTACATCACACAACATAGAGCTTTACATGTATTGTATGGGTTTCTATAACCATTTGTAAGAATGAATCTGTTTGCAAAAGTAATCACATGAAAAGGTCGTGAAGCAGAATTATTACACAACATCAGTATTTTATATAAATATTTATATGATTCTAGGCCTAAGAAAACACTGCTACTCAAGAGATCACAAACATTCGTTTTTTTCTGATTGTTCACGAAAGCGAAGGCATGACGCTTATGTATAGATAATTATACATGAAGAGGACAAACTAACCTATTTCGCGCACTGATGATGTTACCTTAACATAATTTGACTGAGACTTTTATATAAACATGTGGCAGTGATCAATCGAGATGCAGCATAGATCATGGTTGACCCAGGCTTTTTCGAAAACATGTATTAAAGGGACAAATTATAAAACGATTAATTTGCAAAGTTCATTTACAACACTTTATATTTCTTGTTGAGTTAATTTATGTGTGGTTTAATGTTTGCTTTCCTTAAGTCGCTGCTTTTCATTACTGTAAAAGCATTGCATTCGAGCTTAGAGCACCTATGGTACTATAACAAAATATGTTGTGTAAAGTAAAATGTAGTGTCCCGTGCCAGAGCAAGGTGCCCGCGTGACGTCAGCAATCTCACTTCCATTGCTTCCTCCTGTTACGTTGTAGCAGTTGTGACCACTCGGGGCATCAGTCGAGTTGGTCACATACACCTGGATGCCATTTCTCCTTAGTGTATCTGGAATAATTGCTTCAATAAAGTTCCAGGAAGGGAATCGCACATATATAGCCACATGAACGTATTCTTGAAGAAAAAGACGCATGTTGTATAAACGTTAAACAGCCAACAATAGATTCTCACAAACTAACAATTAACCCAGCATTATCGATTGCAGCTGACAATAAACTCACAGTCAGTCCTGAAGTAGATGGAGACCTCACGTATCATGCCCTGTGTCATTGAGATCCACACGCCACCAGTTGGGGTTGCTGGGCGCTGTTTCTATACAAACACGATACCAGCTTGCAGTGCTTCCGTCCGTGGCCCGGGATGACGGGTAATTGCCATCTCGACTGGATGATGAAGCTTTCTCCCTCGCAACATTATCTAGAAAATGCATGAACAAGATAGTTCTTTCCATTTATTTGATTTGTTTGTGTTTGATATCTGCGGTCAGCGGTGTTCCGCAGAATCTGGTCTCTTTTATTGCCTTACATTAAGACTTCTGCCCATTAACAAGACTTACATACATCACACATATTTCACATTCTTTAATACAATACCAGACTTTTCATGGGGGGACTGATTTCTTTTCTTAGAAACAGGCTTTTTCTTTTTCTTTGAAAACTAATATTTATTTTACATCCATCATTTTCAGCAACGTTTCGAGTTAGAAACATAGCGTCAAGGCATAAAATGAGACGAAAACAACATTTTGACGAAATGGCAGGTCGCCGCAATGTTGTTCTTTCTTAGAATATGGAAAACATGCAGTAAAGAACACAGTACGTGGCGCTACCGTCTACTTAACAAATGTGAACAGAGCATCAATATACCCAGGGTTCGAGGTCACAACAACGTGCATAGATTTGAATGCTAACTCTGTGGGTTAAAGGACCGTCGTTTGTCTGGTTGAGGTAATACATAAAGACATTGCACACATACTATTGTTGGGTATGTCCTGTATTTATTAACCTAGGCTTCCTTTTGTTACAAGGGACATCATCGATTTGAGTGAGGGAATTAGTTTAGTTAAAAATTGCAATGAACAGAACAAGAATAACGCTTTGACTCCAATGGGCATTCTCAACTCCCTGAGGAGAATACATGACAACATCCTGATCATAACTCTGTGTGATTCTGAAAATAATCAAAGATCACATCATCTTTTCAAGACATACATATATTGAATATACCATTCTTATAAATTGTCAACATTGGCGTGTCAGTTTGATGTTGGAGGAAAACCCACTTTGGTGAAACACGCAAGCGGGGTGATCCTGCTGACAAACATAGAAACATAATCAGGGAGAATCTGGGATTCTAACTCACGATCTCAGGTTTCTGGTCCAGCGATTTGCTGATGCTAGGACGACTGGGCCACTGGGGGGCTGTTTGGGACCGGGATTATAGGTAACCGGGATCCAGTGAGTTTGGTTCTTGCTTTGTGAAAACGACACCGACAAAAATGATGTCTGAAATAGTTTCTAAATATACGATCAAAGATATGTGGTCATTTCTAGGAAAGCAACCTATATTGCAATTGAATCAAGGCCATTAAAATGATTGGAATTGAAAAGGAGGAGAACCATTTCTGTGTATGCATAGTTTAATTAACTTACTACATACGCACACCGATATAGGGACAGGCCGACAGCACAACAGAATATATATGTCGCATGGGTGTGTTGTTGTGTTGTACATTTTATATCGTTGCCACCTGAAATATATGCCACTTTGTCGCATTGTCCCCATTTTGTAAGCATGAAAAATATAACAGAAAACGCAACAATGTCACAATGCGAGAATGGGACGATTCCTGAAACGTTGTTTTACGCATTTGAGGCAACATTGCCACGATACATTCTGTGACCTCAAATATTAATGTCACTTTGTCACATTGACCCCCCTTTGGTAACCAAACATATAATTTTGTCATGTTCTTCTTGCTTCCTTTTAAGATCGACAAGAGACATTCTCACCACCACCCCTTTGTAGCCGGCCGCACGTCTGTATCTGTGTTGCTCTGGTTTTCTGTATTCCTTCTGACATTGATGAATGAAAGAGGCATGAATCCAGGTACATACTTTAACCAAACATAGTTAGATCCAATAGTTCAGGATGATCAGTGGTATTATAGGGCAGGGTATTTTATTGTTAAACAATGATTATAGCTGAATAACATTGTTTCTGTTGAGATCGGTTAAAGCTCGTTGCATTTTACTTTTAACAATGATTTGTTGTCAGGTATGAAGTACTATTTACTGTAAGCAGTTTTGAGGAAGTTACTAGATTTAGATACTAGTGTGAACGTTATATAGAGAAAGAGCGTTATAGGAACAGGTGGAATATTCTATTTTTGAGGTATCCATTATATTTTTGGAATGGGGAGTTGAGTATGTTCTCTGACGCTGTTGCAATAATGGGCCTCTGCTCAATTATTTTAAGAAACGGAGAGGTACTCGGACATTCCCCTCTACGGAATGTGGGGCGGTGGGATAGCTCAGCGGTTTGTTTAAGGTTCAATTTCCAACATGGGTACACTATGTGAAGCCGATTTCTGGTGTCCCCCGCCGTGATATTGCTGGAATATTGCCAAAAGCAGCGTAAAACCTACTCACTCACACACTCTACGGAATGTGGTACTATTTAATGTAAGTTTTGAGAAAGTTATAACTATATTTAGATGCTAATGTGATGTGTAAAACTTCCGGTACACCGTGGACTGAGATAGAGTGTTACATGTAGAGTATTCTGTGGTGGCACTGTGTAGAAATTGCCAAAGGCTGGTATGACCGTATGTAAGGGAAAAGAGCGAAATATATTAGTAATTTGACACCCGGGTGCATGAGCAAGGCTTACAGTCTCAGTACGATGTCGATAGTTATGCTGCTGTAGTTACATACGTTTCTGACATGTCGGACCAGACCATCCTGGGTGACAGGCTGACGGACTGCAGGCGGAAGTAGAATTACACTTGTCTTGGTCACAGTTACATCTGTAGCCGCACTGGTATCCGTATGTACCGTTAGGACAGCTGCCTGTAACAGAAGTATTACATCAGTAAAAGACAGTGAAGTGGTAGCCCTATGTACCATCAGGACAGCTGTCTGTAACTGAAGTATTATATCAGAGAAAGACAGTGACAGTGGTAGTTGTATGTACCATCAGGACAGCTGTCTGTAACAGAAGTATCATATCAGAGAAAGACAGTGACGCTGGTAGCTGTATGTACCATCAGGACAGCTGTCTGTAACAGAAGTATTATATCAGAGAAAGACAGTGACACTGGTAGCCGTATGTACCATCAGGACAGCTGCCTGTAACAGAAGTATCATATCAGAGAAAGATAGTGACACTGATAGCTGTATGTACCATCAGGACAGCTGTCTGTAACAGAAGTAATATATCAGAGAGAGACAGTGACACTGGTAGCCGTATGTACCATCAGGAGAGCTGCCTGTAACAGAAGTATCATATCAGAGAAAGACAGTGACACTGGTAGCCGTATGTACCATCAGGACAGCTGTCTGTAACAGAAGTATTATATCAGAGAAAGACAGTGACACTGGTAGCCGTATGTTCCATCAGGACAGCTGTCTGTAACAGAAGTATCATATCAGAGAAAGACAGTGACACTGGTAGCTGTATGTACCATCAGGACAGCTGTCTGTAACAGAAGTAATATATCAGAGAGAGACAGTGACACTGGTAGCCGTATGTACCATCAGGAGAGCTGCCTGTAACAGAAGTATCATATCAGAGAAAGACAGTGACACTGGTAGCTGTATGTACCATCAGGACAGCTGTCTGTAACAGAAGTATTATATCACAGATAGACAGTGACACTGGTAGCCGTGAGTACCGTTAGGACAGCTGCCTGTAACAGAAGTATTATAACAGAGGTAGACAGTGACACTGGTGGCCGCATGTACCATCATGACAGCTGTCTGTAACAGAAGTATTATATCACAGATAGACAGTGACACTGGTAGCCGTATGTACCGTCAGGACAGCTGCCTGTAACAGAAGTATTACATCAGTAAAAGACAGTGACACTGGTAGCTGTATGTACCATCAGGACAGCTGTCTGTAACAGAAGTATTATATCACAGATAGACAGTGACACTGGTAGCCGTGAGTACCGTTAGGACAGCTGCCTGTAACAGAAGTATTATAACAGAGGTAGACAGTGACACTGGTGGCCGCATGTACCATCATGACAGCTGTCTGTAACAGAAGTATTATATCACAGATAGACAGTGACACTGGTAGCCGTATGTACCGTCAGGACAGCTGCCTGTAACAGAAGTCTTATGTCACAGATAGACAGTGACACTGGTAGCTATATATGCTACCAATGTTTACAGAAACCATTCCGTGTATTGAAGAAGCAGTTACTTACCAATAGCAGAGGGCAAAGTAGAGAGATATACAATCAATACAAAAATCACTGTACGAGACGCCATACCTGGGTCTGTAAGTGAACCACAGACGTCAATCTTGGGTATGCACACACTAGACAACCCATGCGAATCTTATCAGTATTCAGTGACTCATTTTCTATAACGGGTGTCACTCGTGTAGAAACATATCGGTGCACGACCATACTCGCCACCAGCGTGTACATGTTCCCTGGGCAGATCTGGTAGTACACTATCCTATCACTGAGTGGGCGGACATTATTACACAAACATGTCACTTACACTGCACTGAGCTGAAACATATGTGGTATTGTTGGGTTAGTTCTGGTAAAGGGTACTTGTCTCATCGCGATCACTGAGTGTGGTGAAACTGTGGATGGAGCATCATGTATACCGATAAAACCACACATCCCTACTTATGAAGTGAAGTAAGGCAGAAACAGTAAGAAGGTGACTCCAGATCTGGTTGTCCAAACGATGCCGCGTGTGGGTCTCAAGTGTTGGCTGACCACTGCCTGGTGATGGCTGACGGCGTGTGACACGTGAACATTATGCCTATCGCTGACCAAGTGTATTGAAATCAAAGGAGATTATATTTGGCTCAATCTGAACGACTTACTACATGTATGCGATGCCTCGAACTGTCTACACATGTCAGAAGGCCACAACCAGGCGAGAGGCTGCAGACTCAGTTATTTAATTAGATCTAGTGAAGTGGAACTTTTAATAAATATGTATGTAATAATTAAAAATATGATCATTTTGCCGCAAATATTTAGCAATTTCGTTAGTCCTTTCAAACAAATACAATAATGCATCACGAGTCTGTTTACATAACCACTTGTCACGTGATACTGATCATGTGACAAACGCTGACCAAGCATCTGAAGACATCCTGACATAGCCACATGAAGACGCAACTTAGCCTACCTAATACTGAAAGAAGTTTGAAATGTCCTAATTACGTGAATTACGCCACGGAACGTATTGGTGTCGTGAGTGAGTGAATGTTGTTTAACGCGGGTGCAGGCTAAAACGGCACCTCAGCAAAACGTCACCGATTTCTCTGGCGAAAACGGCACCGCATTTGGCGAAAACGGCTACTATGAGTCGGGCGAAAACGGCACCTCTATTTTTAATAACGATAACAACGATTTTTGTAGTAATATATAGGGTTTATTTACATGGTATTTTATTAATGATGTATTTTCATTTCCTCTTTTCAGAGATATAAGTAAATATAGTATTTGATTGGTGATTTACATTGTATTTCCTCTTTTCAGTAAAAAACTTGTGGATGGCATCATCCTCCATGTAGGCTACGTAGAAACAAGTGAAAAATTTATGTAAGACATATGAGATAAATAAGATATATTAGATTATATATATGTTACTATCTATTTCTATTACAGTTCTTCTTTTTTTTACAATACATTAAATATATATTATACCTGCAATCCAATTTCTTCTTCAAGACTTTGACGTAGTCCGATGTTCGACGCCTTGACATAATTACAAACACAAGAGGCATCAACTTGAAGTTACTGCCGGCACGCACAAAAGCATGAATGGTCAGCAGTTGATGGAACGGACGTTTGACAATCTTAAACGTTCCGTCCATTAACCATTGACCACTCCTACTTAGGTGCTGTAATTGCCGGTCAGTAGCAAGCATGATATGCCTCTCGTCCTTGTGAATTATGTCGCCACGGACGAAGCCTTCGGGTAAGAAGTCCTCGGCAATCCGGTGACGTTTTGCTGAGGTGCCGTTTTCGCTATAACCCGTTTAACGCCGCACCCTTCCAGCCACATGACGGCCTACAAAAGATAATCGGGCTTGAGACAGACCACCAGCGATGGATGTTTTGTGCAATGTAGTCAAACATGTCATCGAGTCGTTAAGTCGGCTCCAGGCTATAAAAAACAAAAAACACAAAAACCGTCCAAAACTTAAAAGCTCCGACAATCCCCGTTATGGCATAGAAATAGTTTGGATCTCTGCCCATGTCGGTGTGTTTGGTAACAGCAGCTACATCGACACTAAAATTAGAAGACGTAAGCACCAGCCTTCCAATATCTAATTACGAAATTAAAAAACAACTCACAGAAATCAAAGTGCAAAATAAAACACCTGCTACAAAAGCCACTCAGAAAAACGAAAAATCCATCATAAAACCAAAACAAATCGACAGGGCAACCAAATCACAAACAGGCCACACTATGTTAAACTCACACATACACCACATTTAAAAAACACTTCAAACCGGTAGATGCTGACATTGCAACCAAATAGCAACTCCTAAACACGTAATACTTTACTGCACACATTAACAACAACACAGAACAACACTCAAATTCTCACTAAACTACAACCACCAAATGACACTAGCAACTCTACTAAACCACTTTAACTTAAAAAATAAATAAATTAAAAACTATAAAGCGCCATTCATTTATCTAATCAAAACAGGCCTACTCGGTCGCATTTAAAAAAAGGGAAAAACAGAAAACACAATAAATCTTAGCCTAAATCATAAATACTAAAACCACACAACTACACAACCTCGCACACTCCTTTAGGTCCCCCACCTTATAAGCATGGCATAATTCCTAATTTCCGTCAGAATTAATTAATCAACCATAAAGCCCCTCCAGGTTGCTTTACCTTTGGGACATACCCTTCTCGACCACGTCACTAAATGGCCTGGCGGGCCCGTGCGCGAAACACGCATGTGTCGGAAAGCGCACTTTAAAACAGAAGCTAATTATAAGAAGTCATTATTGAGCCTTCTTGACAACGGTCAGGATCTATCCCGCAACGCCACCTTAACTGTAAATAAAGAAGTTGTCATCCATACATTATCTCTACTTTGCCTACATTGAAATATTGGCTATTATTGACTTCTGTAGTCTTCGTCAACAGAACTTATCAAACTTGTTTTAGTTTTCAAAACATGCAATGAATTTGGATGTGATTAAAACCCGGTTTCTGTCTGCCGCTATCCTCTCACAAACGCAGCAGCTGTACGCTCAATAACAGGGCGTTGAAGATTTGGTCACTGTTGGGAGATTTTAACAGGAAGCACAGAATTATCGCCCTTGGAAGGGGCACCCGCAGGTTCAATAGTTGGGTGACTTTTGTATATTCTCTCACTTTATATGTTATAGATGATCAAAACAACCAACTATTATTTTGATCTTGCATTTTAAATAGTTTATTTGTTATCCGGAGAGAAGTACAAAGACCCATGCGGTCAGTTTAAGATGAAAAACGGTCCACACTAAACACGTCGTCTGCATTTCCTGTTGTGTTGATGATGATATTTCATTAATCATTGTTATTTCAATAAGTCAAATAACAGTTACTTATATTTCGTGTGGTCTTACAAAAGTACACTAGTTCGTTCGAGCGTCTACAATAATACGAATAGCCCGTTAGATATGTGCAAAGATTGTGTAGGACACGCACGCGCACGTCAGCTGAAGGGGTGTGTTCTGACGCTAGTCTAACTTTAAGTGACATTTGACTGCTAATGTCTACTTGTAGATGGCGACATCAGACGATGGAGAGTTTTACATCGAGCTGTGTAAGACGCCGATTCGATTTGAGCCCATCAACAAAGCCAACAACATCTTCTTTGACGATGCCAACAAACAGGTTTGTCAATTAATTTTTTCTTGTTTTTATTACATCTCAATTAGTGTCATGGCCTATCTAGTATAAATACTGATATATACTGACACAAAATGTTGATTAAACAAGCTGTGTGTTCTGTCCTCCAGGTGTTTGCCGTGAGATCTGGTGGAGCCATGGGCGTCACGGTGAAGGGGCCAGATGAGAAGTCTGCCGTTTCATTCAGGTGGGTAGTGAGACATAATAAGGTGAGACATCATCTGTGTCATTCAGGTGGGTAGTGAGACATCATCAGGTGAGACATCGTCTGTGTCATTCAGGTGGGTAGTGAGAAATCATCAGGTGAAACATCGTCTGTGTCATTCATGTGGGTAGAGGGGCGGTCGGGTAGCCTAGTGGTTAAAGCGTTCGCTCGTCACGCCGAAGACCCGGGTTCGATTCCCGACATGGGTACAAAGTGTGAAGCCCTATTCTGGTGTCCCCCGCCGTGATATTGCTGGAATATTGCTAAAAGCGGCGTAAAACCATACTCAGTCAGTCAGTTCAGGTGGGTAGTGACATCGTCAGGTGAGACATTGTCTGTGTCATTCAGGTGGGTAGTGAGACATCATCAGGTGAGACATCGTCTGTGTTATTCTGGTGGGTAGGGAGACATCATCAGGTGAGACATTGTCTGTGTCATTCATCTGGGTAGTGAGACATCATCAGGTGAGACATCGTCTGTGTCATTCTGGTGAGTAGTGAGACATCATCAGGTGAGACATTGTCTGTGTCATTCAGGTGGGTAGTGAGACATCATCAGGTGTGACATCGTCTGTGTCATTCTGGTGGGTAGTGAGACATCATCAGGTGAGACATTGCCTGTGTCATTCTGGTGGGTAGTGAGACATCATCAGGTGAGACATCGTCTGTGTCATTGAGGTGGGTAGTGAGACATCATCAGGTGAAACATTGCCTGTGTCATTCAGGTGGGTAGTGAGACATCGTCTGTGTCATTCAGGTGGGTAGTGAGACATCATCAGGTGAGACATCTGCAGTGTCATTTAGGTGGGTAGTGACATTGTCAGGTGAGACATGTGTCATTCAGGTGCCTAGTGAGACATCATCAGGTGAGACATCGTCTTTGACTGCATGCTCAGCATCAAGGGAACTCCTCTTTCCTGAGAGGAAGTTCACTATTGATATGGTTCTTATAGGACTGTAGGACTACTACCTCAAACAGCTTTTGAGTGAAGTTTGCTTTTAAGTAAACTGTGCATTGTCCATATTAGCCATGTAATCAGCCAATATTTAAAGTTTTTATGTATCACGTCTCCTAAAATCCTGTCAGCACTCTTGACGGAGGCTGTGTAGAGATCATTATGGAAGCTCTAAATTCTAAAAGATTTTTTCGTTATCAAAAAGAATGCCAGTTGTTATTATTTTATGTTGCACAGAATCGAGGACAGGGGTGATGTTGTTTCAATAAAGTTTTCTCCTGACAAGAAAATCTTAGCCATCCAGAGATCTCAAAAATCAGTGGTGAGTTATAAGCTATCATAGCTGAGTATAGTTTAATTTGTTGATGGTGACGCATAAGATTATATTGCATGATTGTCCCCATTGGAGAATAGAGTATGGCTGATTGATTGTGTATTGGTGTTGTAGTCATCAGTCACATGTCTGGTCCAGATTCCCGGCTGCAGGATAAAACAACATTCACTCTATCACCTCCAATATGGCAGCCAAAGTGTACAAAATGGTCATGGAGGCTGTTAAAAAACAGAAATACACAATCACATAACGGAAATTTGCTGATTGACCTGTAACTCCTTTTTGGCTACTTGTATGGTTAGAAGTGACTGTAGATGTGTCCTGACTGTACACTTAGCTCTGGTACTTGACTGTAGATGTTTCGTGACTGTACACCTAGCTCTGGTACTTGACTGTAGATGTCTCCTGACTGTACACCTAGCTCTGGTACTTGACTGTAGATGTGTCCTGACTGTACACCTAGCTCTGGTACTTGACTGTAGATGTCTCCCAACTGTACACCTAGCTCTGGTACTTGACTGTAGATGTCTCCTGACTGTACACCTAGCTCTGGTACTTGACTGTAGATGTCTCCTGACTGTACACCTAGCTCTGGTACTTGACTGTAGATGTCTCCTGACTGTACACCTAGCTCTGGTACTTGACTGTAGATGTCTCCTGACTGTACACCTAGCTCTGGTACTTGACTGTAGATGTCTCCTGACTGTACACCTAGCTCTGGTACTTGACTGTAGATGTCTCCTGACTGTACACCTAGCTCTGGTACTTGACTGTAGATGTCTCCTGACTGTACACCTAGCTCTGGTACTTGACTGTAGATGTCTCCTGACTGTACACCTAGCTCTGGTACTTGACTGTAGATGTCTCCTGACTGTACACCTAGCTCTGGTACTTGACTGTAGATGTCTCCTGACTGTACACCTAGCTCTGGTACTTGACTGTAGATGTCTCCTGACTGTACACCTAGCTCTGGTACTTGACTGTAGATGTGTCCTGACTGTACACCTAGCTCTGGTACTTGACTGTTGATGTCTCCTGACTGTACACCTAGCTCTGGTACTTGACTGTAGATGTCTCCTGACTGTACACCTAGCTCTGATACTTGACTGTAGATGTCTCCTGACTGTACACCTAGCTCTGGTACTTGACTGTAGATGTCTCCTGACTGTACACCTAGCTCTGGTACTTGACTGTAGATGTCTCCTGACTGTACACCTAGCTCTGGTACTTGACTGTAGATGTCTCCTGACTGTACACCTAGCTCTGGTACTTGACTGTAGATGTCTCCTGACTGTACACCTAGCTCTGGTACTTGACTGTAGATGTCTCCTGACTGTACACCTAGCTCTGGTACTTGACTGTAGATGTCTCCTGACTGTACACCTAGCTCTGGTACTTGACTGTAGATGTGTTCTGACTGTACACCTAGCTCTGGTACTTGACTGTAGATGTCTCCTGACTGTACACCTAGCTCTGGTACTTGACTGTAGATGTCTCCTGACTGTACACCTAGCTCTGGTACTTGACTGTAGATGTCTCCTGACTGTACACCTAGCTCTGGTTCTTGACTGTAGATGTCTCCTGACTGTACACCTAGCTCTGGTTCTTGACTGTAGATGTGTCCTGACTGTACACCTAGCTCTGGTACTTGACTGTAGATGTCTCCTGACTGTACACCTAGCTCTGGTACTTGACTGTAGATGTCTCCTGACTGTACACCTAGCTCTGGTACTTGACTGTAGATGTGTCCTGACTGTACACCTAGCTCTGGTACTTGACTGTAGATGTCTCCTGACTGTACACCTAGCTCTGGTTCTTGACTGTAGATGTCTCCTGACTGTACACCTAGCTCTGGTACTTGACTGTAGATGTCTCCTGACTGTACACCTAGCTCTGGTACTTGACTGTAGATGTCTCCTGACTGTACACCTAGCTCTGGTACTTGACTGTAGATGTGTCCTGACTGTACACCTAGCTCTGGTACTTGACTGTAGATGTCTCCTGACTGTACACCTAGCTCTGGTACTTGACTGTAGATGTCTCCTGACTGTACACCTAGCTCTGGTACTTGACTGTAGATGTCTCCTGACTGTACACCTAGCTCTGGTACTTGACTGTAGATGTCTCCTGACTGTACACCTAGCTCTGGTACTTGACTGTAGATGTGTCCTGACTGTACACCTAGCTCTGGTACTTGACTGTAGATGTCTCCTGACTGTACACCTAGCTCTGGTACTTGACTGTAGATGTGTCCTGACTGTACACCTAGCTCTGGTACTTGCTGGTGCAGGGATACATGACATGTAGTTAGTTACCTGTACATGTTCACACAACATTCATGTCTTTGAAGAAAGAAACTGCACAGGGTATGTTATGCTGCAGGTTTGAGGTCTTGTGTGATGAACTAAGTTTGTTTGTTGTTTAACGCTGCATTCAGCAATATTCCAGCAATATGACGGCAGTCTGTAAATAATCGTGTCTTGACCAGACAATCCAGTGACTGACATCATGAGAATCAATGTACGCAATTGAGATACTATGACATGCATCAACCAAGTCAGCCAGCCTGACCAACTGATCCTGTTAGTTGATTCTTACAACAAGCATAGTCTGCTGTAACGGAAGCATTGGTTGCTGAAGACCTATTTTAGCCTGGTTCTTCACTGGTCCATGAATAAAGCACACCCATGACTGTCATACACAGTATTACAGCATCTCACTCTCAAATGTCCAAGTTTTCACATAGGTGAAACCCATGAGCACAGGTATAGTGCCTGCAAACCATTCATTTAGAATCTGAGATTGGAACTCTCCAACAGCAGATCCTGGTGCAACTAAGGGTTGTAACTCTGCACAATGAATCTCAGTGCCATAACCACCTGTGACCTGATAGCATGATAACATGTGATAGAGGTTTTCCTGATGACATTATTATTATTATTATTATTATTATTATTTCAGGAGTTCATCAACTTCCACAATGACATGTCAACAGATCAGATGGAGTATTCACAAATATGCAAGGTTGGTATCAATAAAGTTAAATTGTCTTTTCCCCATATGTATTTGGAAAGGTATTGGGTGTTAAAGTATTATGGCTTTTCTTGCAAAACGAACATGGATTATTGGAGTTATTGTGTATTTCATTTCAACAAACAAGCATGCTTCTCGTTATTAGAACATTCAAACTTTAAGTGTCTGTTTAAGTTTGATAATTCACTGTAGCAGTTCCTGTTTCTATTTCCCAGGGAAAGTCGACCCAGATCATTGGATTCATATGGACTTCGGTCAACGAGATTGCTTTCATCACAGACCACGGCATAGAACACTACCAGGTAGGTCTGGTACACGGCATAGAACACTACCAGGTCGGTACCGGTACATGGCATAGAACACTACCAGGTAGGTCTGGTACATGGCATAGAACACTACCAGGTAGGTCTGGTACATGGCATAGAACACTACCAGGTAGGTACCGGTACATGGCATAGAAAACTACCAGGTAGGTACCGATACATGGCATAGAACACTACCAGGTAGGTACTGGTACATGACATAGAACACTACCAGGTAGGTACTGGTACATGACATAGAACACTACCAGGTAGGTATTGGTACATGACATAGAACACTGCCAGGTAGGTACTGGTACATGGCATAGAACACTACCAGAAAGGTACTGGTACACAGCATAGAACACTACCAGGTAGGTACTGGTACATGACATAGAACACTACCAGGTAGGTCTGGTACATGGCATAGAACACTACCTTGTAGGTACTGGTACATGGCATAGAACACTACCTTGTAGGTACTGGTACATGGCATAGAACACTACCTTGTAGGTACTGGTACATGGCATAGAACACTACCAGGTAGGTACCGGTACATGGCATAGAACACTACCAGGTAAGTACCGGTACATGGCATAGAACACTGCCAAGTAGGTACTGGTACACAGCATAAAACACTACCAGGTAGGTACCGGTACATGGCATAGAACACTACCAGGTAGGTCTGGTACATGGCATAGAACATACCAGGTAGGTACTGGTACATGGCATAGAACACTACCAGGTAGGTACTGGTACATGGCATAGAACACTACCAGGTAGGTACTGGTACATGGCATAGAACACTACCAGGTAGGTACCGGTACATGGCATAGAACACTACCAGGTAGGTACTGGTACATGGCATAGAAAACTACCAGGTAGGTACCGATACATGGCATAGAACACTACCAGGTAGGTACCGATACATGGCATAGAAAACTACCAGGTAGGTACCGGTACATGGCATAGAAAACTATCAGGTAGGTACTGGTACATGGCATAGAACACTACCAGGTAGGTACCGATACATGGCATAGAACACTGCCAGGTAGGTACTGGTACATGGCATAGAACACTACCAGGTAGGTACTGGTACATGGCATAGAACACTACCAGGTAGGTACTGGTACATGGCATAGAACACTACCAGGTAGGTACCGATACATGGCATAGAACACTGCCAGGTAGGTACCGGTACATGGCATAGAACACTACCAGGTAGGTACCGATACATGGCATAGAACACTACCAGGTAGGTACCGATACATGGCATAGAACACTACCAGGTAGGTACTGGTACATGGCATAGAACACTGCCAGGTAGGTACCGATACATGGCATAGAACACTACCAGGTAGGTACCGGTACATGGCATAGAACACTACCAGGTAGGTACTGGTACATGGCATAGAAAACTACTAGGTAGGTACCGGTATATGGCATAGATAAACCTACTGATTGTAGAGTCTTGGGACACTCCCTCTCACGTTTTACAGCTTTTACTATCCCTGGTGACTTGTTGTAGATCACCCCAGAGAGGAGAAGTCTGCGCAACTTGAAGACAGTCAGTCTGCAGGTCAACTGGTTCGTGTGGCTGGTGAGTGGTCTGAAAGATACCATCACACTTGGAAACTCCTGGTTGTTAGACTAACTGAAGTATTTCCGCTTGCATTAAGCTGATACGCTATCATGTAACTGAATACTGGTCAAAGACGCAGAGTATGCTGAAATATATCTTAATTCAGAGAGAATTTCACCACAGTGTAAGTGTCATATTGAAGCCTGTGTTTGCTGGTTGTTTCCAGGCAGAGACGTACATCCTGGTGCTGTCGTCCGGGACGCTGGGGAACACACTGCATCCCTTCCAGTTCAGGGTCAGTCTCTTCTTGAAGGTTGGATGTAGAGAGTGTGTGCGTGTGTGTGTGTGTGTCTGTCTCTGTGTGTCTGTGTCTTGGTGTGTGTCTGTGTGTGTGTATGGCTGTGTGTGTGTGTGTGTGTTTGATGCCAAGTCAGCCATATTCCGGCTACTGGCCTGTAAATAATCATGTGTGGACCAGACAATCCTATTGATAGACCCTAATAAAACTAGACCCTAATAGACCCCTGGGGAAATCCCACATCCTGGGAACTAGGTCTACAGTGCTGTGGAGCCAAATGAGAGGAATTGTCCCAGCATGCCTTTAGGGTTGGGAGCTCTTGTGCCCTTGTTTGTTTATTGTCCCCTGACGGGGGATTCTCCCATTCACAAACACAAACATTAATCTTAAACAAGGACACTTTCTTAAAGTTTGAACTATGTAGCTATTGTATTGTGTACGTGCAGATCAGGGGTAGAATTGGTCTTTAGCAACCCATGCTTGCCGTAAGAGGCGACTATGCTTGCCGTAAGCAGAGACCATATAACAGAGGGACGGCCCTCCCCAACAGTTTATCATAAACCATCAGCACTACGGTCTGGCATGTAACTGATACACCCCGACACCCTGCTGTTAACCTCTCTGTACCGCTGCAGATGCGCAATAGATGCGCAGACATTCACGACTGACCATTCTGGTAACCACGTAAACAATATTATAAAATATCCGGGGCTAGAGTTAATTCCCTTAGCCGAGATTTCTCCGACTACGACCAGCGACAATCCAATAAAAGGACGTCTCTTAGCGGATCACAAAGATTTTCCTGGTCTAAATAGAATGACAGTGATGTTACCGCTACCAAGCCGTTGGTAAATACCTCCCAAAAAGATTCACTCAAAGAAAAAGATAGGAAATGAAAATATGACGTCTGTCCACAAGCGTAAGTTTTCGAGGGCGTGTGAAGAAAAAGCCGTTCCGATATCAAAAGTATTTTATAACGCATTCTATTTGTTTTAAAAAATCAGTTAATATATCTCATTTTATGCTGCAATTGTTAACTATTATAAATAAACAAATATACCAACGAACGCCACAGAAAACTACGATCCGGTAAATTGAACAGGAACTCAGGAAGTGTAAATAAAACTCATCCAGAACTTGTAACATATCACCATATTCCCGATGTTCACAAAATATGTCTCCATATTAACTTCATATCTTATAATAAGTCAAGACTAGATTTACTTGCAAAAAAATGCATGATCACCGACTGGTGTAAATGCTTTACTATTAGCTAGAAAAAAAATGACGCCATATTAATGTTTTTATTTCATGCAAATTGGCTACTATTTTATAATGCTAATAGTTCCAATGAATTAGAAATACACATTAAACTACGAGCGTTGTTAAATGAATTTTCGATGTGTCCGACAATGGGCTTCGAAAGAATCAAACGTTATTGGTTAATGCCAGTTTGGGGCTAGCAGTGATAATGGGGTTTGCCGGAGCGAGGTAAGTTTTTTTTCAAAGGGAGGCTACTGTTAAATTCCAAATATTCCGATATTACCCGATTAGATCGATATTTCAGGATACAAATAAATCGGTATTTCAGGTATAACAATATAGCTTCAACGAGCGTGGTACCAGATATCTACTAGTATATCGTAAACTGTAGTAACGTTTGTTGTTTTCAAAATTCTTTCATCATAGTTTTCTATATCTGATCAATGAAAAACAAACTTTAAACTCTAACCTGGAACAAAGCATGCAACTACACATGTATTACTATTAAAACAAAACAAAACATTACAAACTCTGACAAAAAGGGAAATGTATTTTTCAAAGAAAAGGACAATAGACCATCTATATATTTTACTGAATGACACCTTCGACCTTGTTGTCTGGAACTTCTCTCCCGACGACTGCCGATATAATCCTTCTTCTTTCTTGGCATTTACATTGGTTTTCATTGTTGTGTAAATACACAAAGTAAGTAGTAACTTCATCATATTTACATTATTATGATTGGGTTTAGGCCAATATCATTTAAGGATTGACTGTGTATTTTTTTCGGTTCATTGAGGTATGAATCGAAAAACCAATGTGCAAACTGAATGAATCCGCGTAGCGGATTCTTACAAAAGTTTGCACATTGGTTTTTCGATTCATACCTCAATGAACCGAAAAGAATAAACAGTCAATGCTTATAATTAAATTCGACTGCATAAAACATGTTTTATCTACAAAAGTTTAACCAAAAACAGTTGTATATATCAAAACAGACAAAAATGACGAGATTGATAAACGTTCCAGGTGTAGGAATACATACTGTGGCGTGACATGAATCAGGTGATTGTTTAATTTATGCACATAAATTGACACGCCTACACTGTCAGTAGCCAATCAACGGAGATCAGGATCAAAACAATGTTCATTGGACCTGTCAGTTAAGACAAGAGGCGAAAAGAACTGCAACAGTCAGACTGTAACGAACTGGAAGAAATATGTCCGGGAGAAGGCGGCTGTTTCAAATTACGTGGTCAGTTACCGCCAGATTCAAACATTACTTCCCAGCTTACGGTAAAACACAGTTGGAGAAATGCTAGTTAGAAAGGAAACCCGAAGACATGAAAGTTGAACCGAGGCGAGCGGGAAAAAAACAGGCGAGCGAGCCTGCACGTTTGCTGTTTTATTCATTCTCGGCCATCGGTTTCAAAGGGTAGTTTGGACAATGCATATGCATGAAAGTCGCTAAATGTCCTGTGCATGACGATACACGTGAGCAGAAAGGGAATTCCCTCGACTGTAATATTGGGATTCCCCCACATTCCGAAGTAATAAAAGTAGTGCGCCTCGGTGGGCGTGTCTTAATTTTTTACATTCATTGGGAAATGAATGCAATAACACGTGACCAATTCAGCTAATCAGAATACAGGAATTTCAATGAACTCAACGAAAATTTAATTATTTTGCTCATAATCAGTATTTACACGGCATAAAATAAATAATTGATTAAATGTAGTCATGATTTATACAGACAAAATCTACAGACGATAACAAATATGTAGTATTGTAGTATGTAGTATATGCGCGATATGTGATAAGGCCTAACTGAAACAAAGTTAAACTTACGAAGAAATGGCGAAGCAATGGTAAAAAAAAATATGCGTTTTACAAAAACAATTCTAATATCATACAATATAAGTCACTTTGTAGAATGTTTCAAAGGATATATGCGGATGATAATCACAGACAAAATGCATGTTATGTCGTCTGCTATATGGTAATTTAACTTAAAATATGTGACGTAAAATATTGCCTTGCGCCAAAAATCATACCAAAAAAACTACCGATCGTACCTAAATAACGTTGGTACCAAGCCATAGGGGAAATCGTGATGAATGTAAAACTATTAAATTCAGGACCGATAATAGGAACAAATTCGTCTGAAAGCATGCGAAAATTAAGAGTTGTGATGTAATTATTTCGGATTAATTCAGATTTAGTCCCATTTCTGGAGTCAAAATCTGAAATTTCGGATCCGCCCTAAATTTGTTAATGGCACTAAGCCAATTTTTAACATATCTCCTTTTTATACACCTACGTAACCAAGGACTTTCATTGCGAATTAGAGGCCGTTATTGAAAATCAAAATCTGCACTTTTGCCGATTTTACATGTGCGCCATTTTGTTCTCTCGGACAAAGACAAAGCGTGATCACAGTCATCAAATACAGTGACAACGACATGCTTTAGGGCACCAACAAATCTCAGTTGTAATGTTAACAATGTTAAGAAATACATGAGTGTAATTATGTATTGTGAAATATATCTTTAGCATGGGAAAAAAAGGCAACAACGATGACTGCAGTGAACGCGTTTCTGCTCGCTTCCGGACAGGCTGCGCAGTACAAGCCGTAGCACTGATGGTTTCGCGCAAAGGCTAGAGGGCCGTCCCTCTATTATATGGTCTCTGCCGTAAGAGGCGACTAACAGGATCAAGTGGTCAGGCTCGCTAACTTGGTTGATGCATGTCATCAATGCCAATTGCCTGGATCAATGCTCATGACATCAATCACTGGATTGTCTGGTCCAGACTCGATTTTTTTACAGACCGCCACCATAAAGCTGGAATATTACTGACCAACAAACCAACCAACAACAACGCGCATTAACCAATATAGACTCCAGAACCGTACATCCTCATCCTTGTGCTTGCAGCCAGGTCTGGTGAATCGGCTGCCCAAGTTCGAGGTGGACCTGCCGGTTGTCCCCAAACCTGCTAAACTCAGTCTGCTGGAGCGAGATGTCATCGTGGCCAACATGTGAGCATAGATACACTTCCTGTTAGTTAGCTGTCAACGTGACCAACATGTGGACATAGATACTCTTCCTGTTAGTTAGCTGTCAACGTGACCAACATGTGGACATAGATACACTTCCTGTTAGTTAGCTGTCAACGTGACCAACATGTGGACATAGATACACTTCCTGTTAGTTAGCTGTCAACGTGACCAACATGTGCACATAGATACACTTCCTGTTAGTTAGCTGTCAACATGTGGACATAGATACACTTCCTGTTAGTTAGCTGTCAACGTGACCAACATGAGCACATAGATACACTTCCTGTTAGTTAGCTGTCAACATGTGGACATAGATACACTTCCTGTTAGTTAGCTGTCAACGTGACCAACATGTGCACATAGATACACTTCCTGTTAGTTAGCTGTCAACATGTGGACATAGATACACTTCCTGTTAGTTAGCTGTCAACGTGACCAACATGTGGACATAGATACACTTCCTGTTAGTTAGCTGTCAACGTGACCAACATGTGGACATAGATACACTTCCTGTTAGTTAGCTGTCAACGTGACCAACATGTGGACATAGATACACTTCCTGTTAGTTAGCTGTCAACGTGACCAACATGTGGACATAGATACACCTCCTGTTAGTAAGCTGTCAACGTTACCAACATGTGGACATAGATACACTTCCTGTTAGTTAGCTGTCATCGTGACCAACATGTGAGCATAGATACACTTCCTGTTAGTTAGCTGTCAACGTGACCAGCATGTGCACATAGATACACTTCCTGTTAGTTAGCTGTCAACATGTGGACATAGATACACTTCCTGTTAGTTAGCTGTCAACGTGACCAACATGTGCACATAGATACACTTCCTGTTAGTTAGCTGTCAACGTGACCAACATGTGGACATAGATACACTTCCTGTTAGTTAGCTGTCAACGTGACCAACATGTGGACATAGATACACTTCCTGTTAGTTAGCTGTCAACGTGACCAACATGTGACATAGATACACTTCCTGTTAGTTAGCTGTCAACATGTGGACATAGATACACTTCCTGTTAGTTAGCTGTCAACGTGACCAACATGAGCACATAGATACACTTCCTGTTAGTTAGCTGTCAACATGTGGACATAGATACACTTCCTGTTAGTTAGCTGTCAATGTGACCAACATGTGCACATAGATACACTTCCTGTTAGTTAGCTGTCAACGTGAGCAACATGTGAGCATAGATACACTTCCTGTTAGTTAGCTGTCAACGTGACCAACATGTGGACATAGATACACTTCCTGTTAGTTAGCTGTCAACGTGACCAACATGTGGACATAGATACACTTCCTGTTAGTTAGCTGTCAACGTGACCAACATGTGGACATAGATACACTTCCTGTTAGTTAGCTGTCAACGTGACCAACATGTGGACATAGATACACTTCCTGTTAGTTAGCTGTCAACATGTGGACATAGATACACTTCCTGTTAGTTAGCTGTCAACATGTGCACATAGATACACTTCCTGTTAGTTAGCTGTCAACATGTGGACATAGATACACTTCCTGTTAGTTAGCTGTCAACGTGACCAACATGTGGACATAGATACACTTCCTGTTAGTTAGCTGTCAACGTGACCAAAATGTGGACATAGATACACTTCCTGTTAGTTAGCTGTCAACGTGACCAACATGTGGACATAGATACACTTCCTGTTAGTTAGCTGTCAACGTGACCAACATGTGGACATAGATACACTTCCTGTTAGTTAGCTGTCAACATGTGGACATAGATACACTTCCTGTTAGTTAGCTGTCAACATGTGCACATAGATACACTTCCTGTTAGTTAGCTGTCAACATGTGGACATAGATACACTTCCTGTTAGTTAGCTGTCAACGTGACCAACATGTGGACATAGATACACTTCCTGTTAGTTAGCTGTCAACGTGACCAAAATGTGGACATAGATACACTTCCTGTTAGTTAGCTGTCAACGTGACCAACATGTGGACATAGATACACTTCCTGTTAGTTAGCTGTCAACGTGACCAACATGTGGACATAGATACACTTCCTGTTAGTTAGCTGTCAACGTGACCAACATGTGGACATAGATACACTTCCTGTTAGTTAGCTGTCAACGTGACCAACATGTGGACATAGATACACTTCCTGTTAGTTAGCTGTCAACATGTGGACATAGATACACTTCCTGTTAGTTAGCTGTCAACGTGACCAACATGTGACATAGATACACTTCCTGTTAGTTAGCTGTCAACATGTGGACATAGATACACTTCCTGTTAGTTAGCTGTCAACGTGACCAACATGTGAGCATAGATACACTTCCTGTTAGTTAGCTGTCAACATGTGGACATAGATACACTTCCTGTTAGGAAGCTGTCATCGTGGCCAACTTGTGACATAGATACACTTCCTGTTAGTTAGCTGTCAACGTGACCAACATGTGGACTTAGATACACTTCCTGTTAGTTAGTCGTCAACGTGACCAACATGTGGACATAGATACACTTCCTGTTAGTTAGCTGTCAACGTGACCAACATGAGTACATAGATACACTTCCTGTTAGTTAGCTGTCAACGTGACCAACATGTGGACATAGATACACTTCCTGTTAGTTAGCTGTCAACGTGACCAACATGTGGACATAGATACACTTCCTGTTAGTTAGCTGTCAACGTGACCAACATGTGGACATAGATACACCTCCTGTTAGTAAGCTGTCAACGTGACCAACATGTGGACATAGATACACTTCCTGTTAGTTAGCTGTCATCGTGACCAACATGTGAGCATAGATACACTTCCTGTTAGTTAGCTGTCAACATGTGGACATAGATACACTTCCTGTTAGTTAGCTGTCAACTTAACCAACATGTGAGCATAGATACACTTCCTGTTATTTAGCTGTCAACTAGACCAACATGTGGACATAGATACACTTCCTGTTAGTTAGCTGTCAACGTGACCAACATGTGGACATAGATACACTTCCTGTTAGTTAGCTGTCAACATGTGGACATAGATACACTTCCTGTTAGTTAGCTGTCAACTTAACCAACATGTGAGCATAGATACACTTCCTGTTATTTAGCTGTCAACTAGACCAACATGTGGACATAGATACACTTCCTGTTAGTTAGCTGTCAACGTGACCAACATGTGGACATAGATACACTTCCTGTTAGTTAGCTGTCAACGTAACCAACATGTGAGCATAGATACACTTCCTGTTAGTTAGCTGTCAATATAGCCAACATGAGCATAGATGACTTGTTAGTTAGCCATCATATGATTCACTAAGCACAAAGTATTTTTCATGAAATGTGAGTAAACAATCCAGCAAATATTAAATATTTTTTATGGAACCCACAATAAATGTATGAACCTGTGACTGCTTCAGCTACGACTACCTGTACATCGTCGTGCTGCGCCACCAGCCGAAGGCCGCCGTGGGGGCCGAGATCGTGCTGTATCAGCTACAGAAGTAAGTAGGCTGCACAAACACACTACACCATGTCCACTTGTGGGGAGTGGGACAGTGTCTCCCCTAACACACTACACCATGTCCACTTGTGGGGAGTGGGTCAGTGTCTCCCCTAACACACTACACCATGTCCACTTGTGGGGAGTGGGTCAGTGTCTCCCCAAACACACTATATCATGGCCACTTGTGGGGGTGGGTCAGTGTCTCCCCAAACACACTACACCATGTCCACTTGTGGGGAGTGGGTCAGTGTCTCCCCTAACACACTACACCATGTCCACTTGTGGGGAGTGGGTCAGTGTCTCCCCTAACACACTACACCATGTCCACTTGTGGGGAGTGGGTCAGTGTCTCCCCTAACACACTACACCATGTCCACTTGTGGGGAGTGGGACAGTGTCTCCCCTAACACACTACACCATGTCCACTTGTGGGGAGTGGGACAGTGTCTCCCCTAACACACTACATCATGGCCACTTGTGGGGAGTGGGTCAGTGTCTCCCCTAACACACTACATCATGGCCACTTGTGGGGAGTGGGTCAGTGTCTCCCCTAACACACTACACCATGGCCACTTGTGGGGAGTGGGTCAGTGTCTCCCCTAACACACTACATCATGGCCACTTGTGGGGAGTGGGTCAGTGTCTCCCCTAACACACTACACCATGTCCACTTGTGGGGAGTGGGACAGTGTCTCCCCTAACACACTACACCATGTCCACTTGTGGGGAGTGGGTCAGTGTCTCCCCTAACACACTCAACCATGTCCACTTGTGGGGAGTGGGTCAGTGTCTCCACAAACACACTACACCATGTCCACTTGTGGGGAGTGGGTCAGTGTCTCCCCAAACACACTATATCATGTCCACTTGTGGGAGTGGGTCAGTGTCTCCCCTAACACACTACATCATGGCCACTTGTGGGGAGTGGGTCAGTGTCTCCCCTAACACACTACACCATATCCACTTGTGGGGGTGGGTCAGTGTCTCCCCAAACACACTATATCATGTCCACTTGTGGGAGTGGGTCAGTGTCTCCCCTAACACACTACATCATGGCCACTTGTGGGGAGTGGGTCAGTGTCTCCCCTAACACACTACACCATGTCCACTTGTGGGGGTGGGTCAGTGTCTCCCCAAACACACTATATCATGTCCACTTGTGGGGAGTGGGTCAGTGTCTCCACAAACACACTACACCATGTCCACTTGTGGGAGTGGGTCAGTGTCTCCCCAAACACACTACATCATGTCCACTTGTGGGGGTGGGTCAGTGTCTCCCCAAACACACTATATCATGTCCACTTGTGGGGAGTGGGTCAGTGTCTCCCCTAACACACTACACCATGTCCACTTGTGGGGGTGGGTCAGTGTCTCCCCAAACACACTATATCATGTCCACTTGTGGGGAGTGGGTCAGTGTCTCCCCTAACACACTACACCATGTCCACTTGTGGGGAGTGGGTCAGTGTCTCCCCTAACACACTACATCATGTCCACTTGTGGGGGTGGGTCAGTGTCTCCCCTAACACACTACACCATGTCCACTTGTGGGAGTGGGTCAGTGTTTCCCCTAACACACTATATCATGTCCACTTGTGGGAGTGGGTCAGTGTCTCCCCTAACACACTACATCGTGTCCACTTGTTGGGATGGGGTCAGTTTCAGTCAGAAGCGTCCCTTGTTATGAGTGCTGTTTAGTGCTCATTGTGTGGCATCAGTCCTCCCTGGTGTCCATCATTAAACTGGACTGCCCAAAATTGATAACAGGCTGCCAAGACAGTTGAATATTGATGAGGTGAAACATCTATCTTTCATTTCATCATTAGCATTGTTCTGTCAGAAAGATTTATTGAGAGTTTGAAACAAATTGATGCTTTAATTCTCATTAGTTATCATGTCCAGACAACATGCAACATGAATCGGTGTTCTGGAGCCAGGAGAACTGTGTACATGGTGTCATGTTGATTTCCCAGGGAGAGTCCAGCAAAGAGAACCGAAGTGCTCCAGTTGAACATGAGTGGCCGTTTCGCCATCAACATCGTCGACAACCTCATCATGGTGCACCACCAGGCTTCCAAGGTGAACACAACTATGTCACAGATAGACACAACTATGTCACAGATAGACACAACTATGTCACAGATAGACACAACTATGTCACAGATAGACACAACTATGTCACAGAGTCGTGGTGTATTATTGTGAGTGGAGGTGAATGACGTGACAGAGTCGTGGTGTATTATTGTGAGTGGAGGTGAATGACGTGACAGAGTCGTGGTGTATTATTGTGAGTGGAGGTGAATGACGTGACAGAGTCGTGGTGTATTATTGTGAGTGGAGGTGAATGATGTGACAGAGTCGTGGTGTATTATTGTGAGTGGAGGTGAATGACGTGACAGAGTCGTGGTGTATTATTGTGAGTGGAGGTGAATGATGTGACAGAGTCGTGGTGTATTATTGTGAGTGGAGGTGAAAGATGTGACAGAGTCGTGGTGTATTATTGTGAGTGGAGGTGAATGACGTGACAGAGTCGTGGTGTATTATTGTGAGTGGAGGTGAAAGATGTGACAGAGTCGTGGTGTATTATTGTGAGTGGAGGTGAATGACGTGACAGAGTCGTGGTGTATTATTGTGAGTGGAGGTGAATGATGTGACAGAGTCGTGGTGTATTATTGTGAGTGGAGGTGAATGATGTGACAGAGTCGTGGTGTATTATTGTGAGTGGAGGTGAATGACGTGACAGAGTCGTGGTGTATTATTGTGAGTGGAGGTGAATGACGTGACAGAGTCGTGGTGTATTATTGTGAGTGGAGGTGAATGACGTGACAGAGTCGTGGTGTATTATTGTGAGTGGAGGTGAATGACGTGACAGAGTCGTGGTGTATTAGTGTGAGTGGGGGTGAATGACGTGACGGAGTCGTGGTGTATTAGTGTGAGTGGGGGTGAATGACGTGACAGAGTCGTGGTGTATTATTGTGAGTGGAGGTGAATGACGTGACAGAGTCGTGGTGTATTATTGTGAGTGGAGGTGAATGACGTGACAGAGTCGTGGTGTATTATTGTGAGTGGAGGTGAATGACGTGACAGAGTCGTGGTGTATTATTGTGAGTGGAGGTGAATGACGTGACAGAGTCGTGGTGTATTATTGTGAGTGGAGGTGAATGATGTGACAGAGTCGTGGTGTATTATTGTGAGTGGAGGTGAATGATGTGACAGAGTCGTGGTGTATTATTGTGAGTGGAGGTGAATGATGTGACAGAGTCGTGGTGTATTATTGTGAGTGGAGGTGAATGACGTGACAGAGTCGTGGTGTATTATTGTGAGTGGAGGTGAATGATGTGACAGAGTCCTGGTGTATTATTGTGAGTGGAGGTGAATGACGTGACAGAGTCGTGGTGTATTATTGTGAGTGGAGGTGAATGATGTGACAGAGTCGTGGTGTATTATTGTGAGTGGAGGTGAATGACGTGACAGAGTCGTGGTGTATTGTTGTGAGTGGAGGTGAATGATGTGACAGAGTCATGGTGTATTAGTGTGAGTGGGGGTGAATGACGTGACAGAGTCGTGGTGTATTATTGTGAGTGGGGGTGAATGACGTGACAGAGTCGTGGTGTAGATTCTGTGTATGCTGTTCTCCTGTTGTTCCAGACGTCGATGATATTTGACATCAAGATGGAGGGAGACTCGGACGGCTTCGTCAAGTACCACTTCCCAGTGTTGTCTCCCCTGCCTATCAAGCCATTCAAACTCCTCCTGCCCTGTGAGTCAGAGGAACCCAACACTCATCTCAAAGTTGTAGCATTGGTTTTATCTCATCATGTCAAAGCTGCAGATCACATATTCCAGTGTCATAGTCTTTAATATCAGAGACACTTGATATTATTTGTTTATTTCTCAAAGTGTTTTATCTGCACATGACATTGCCAGCAAGCTGGTACTGATCCATGTCTTGCTGTTATCATGAGAAGTCCATTATTAAGTCTTATTAAGGGGCCAGTATGTCGACCGTTCTGAATGATTGTTTGCAAACAATAGCCAATAACCACCACTTGGCTCTACTGGGCTCGTTCCACAAGAGAAGTTTCTGCTACAGTGACCATACCATGGGTGTAGGCTTTTCTATTTTTTGTAAATATATTTTCACTTATTCTGAAATAAGATGAGACAGGCCCAATGCAAGCCTTTCTTTGCACTTTACGTATTGTTTTGCATAATTGTATATCTATACTATTGCAACTGCAACAGTGAGATGCAGTATAGCTTTACACATTCAAGTGACCATATAGCTATTTCTGCATAGGGCTTCGATTTCAGCATGTGGAGATGTACAATTAATGTAAACAAACGATAAATATGCAAATGGAATAGTTCTTCGCATTTTAGGATATTTTCTCAACAAAATGCTTTTCATGACATATGTTTATCTAAATGTTTAGATGGAAAACATATGAAATATCTTGAATGGACTGTGTAAGATGTGACAATGTGGCAAAGCTACTAGGCTGGAAACTAGGTACTACACATGGAAATTATTTCATGCATGATTTATAAACACCCAGAACTTGTGACATACTGGCCCTCAAGTAGTGGTAGGATCTTGAAATGGGGTATTTCGCAGGACATCGACCTGTTGACCAAAATTATTCGCATCAAGTCCTAGTGCACTATCCTTTGATGCTGTTGTTGTTTTAACAGGTTAAATGTGGGGCCATTTAGTGCGAGATCTTAATGGGTACGTTACTCTAATAATTAGGGTCAGATTGGTAAGTACTGTCGGAGGAAGGGAGATAGATTTCACTTGTGCGGTTGGAGAGGCAGAAATCAACATCAGTCACTATGCCGACAGTGCTTCCTACCTGCTTCAATTCTGAATGTCCAAATGAATACATCTAAGCAATTAGACTGTGTACCTCTATATAGATTTTGTAATGAAAAATAATCAAAATAAACTGTGATATACATCTATGTATACGCTCATGTAGGCTATGTAATAACATGTAATTCGGTGAACCCTAAATTATTTCCTCTTTGCTTTGGAGACGACCCCCCCACCCCGCCTTTAATCCAGATTAAGTAAGACATACATGACTGATTTCGAGAAAAATTGGCATGACGTCCCAGTGTGGGATTTGTGAAAAATCTGTTGGTCACCATCCTGAAAATGAACCCTTCAAATAATTTGAACTTTTTGTTTTAAATCAGAATTTGTTTTCCTGGGTTAAGTTAAAATTGGAATAGATTCCTACACTTTAACTCTGAGATAGCATGGGAGACCTGTCATGTTAGGAAAACAAGCAGAACAGGTTGGTTGGAGGTAGTTTGTGTACATGAACTGTGTCTGTTCTGCAGCCCTGAATCTGACGGCAGCAGGCACGGAGAAGACGGAGTACCTGTGTGAACTCTGTATCCTTGTCCCACGTCACGGTATACTTTTTGTCTTACGTCACATATGGTATAGTTCTCAACCCACATCACACATCACTCACAGTTTAGTTCATGTCTCACAAGGTTTAGTTCTTGTCTTTCATCACACACGGTATAGTTCTTGTCTCACACACGGTTTAGTTCATGTCCACGTCACACATGGTTTAGTTCATGTCCACGTCACACACGGTTTAGTGCTAGACATGATGGGAACTGTCAAACAATGCCAAGTGAGGCACTGGATTTTCTCTTCTGGTCTGACAGGATGAAATGGCTGCCTGTCTGTTATCCTGTACCTTATTCAAATACACTCGAGTCTGTCTTATCCTGTTATAGCATGTTGACAGCTTCTAGCTGATGTGCACATTTGTGGAATTCACAGTCGAGTCTGTCTTATCCTGTTATAGTATGTTGACAGCTTCAAGTTGATGTGCACATTTGTGGAATTCACAGTCGAGTCTGTCTTATCCTGTTATAGCTTGTTGACAGCTTCTAGTTGATGTGCACATTTGTGGAATTCACAGTCCAGTCTGTCTTATCCTGTTATAGCATGTGGACAGCTTCAAGTTGATGTGCACATTTGTGGAATTCACAGTCGAGTCTGTCTTATCCTGTTATAGCATGTTGACAGCTTCTAGTTGATGTGCACATTTGTGGAATTCACAGTCGAGTCTGTCTTATCCTGTTATAGCATGTTGACAGCTTCAAGTTGATGTGCACATTTGTGGAATTCACAGTCCAGTCTGTCTTATCCTGTTACAGCATGTTGACAGCTTCTAGTTGATGTGCACATTTGTGGAATTCACAGTCCAGTCTGTCTTATCCTGTTATAGCATGTTGACAGCTTCAAGTTGATGTGCACATTTGTGGAATTCACAGTCGATTCTGTCTTATCCTGTTATAGCATGTTGACAGCTTCTAGTTGATGTGCACATTTGTGGAATTCACAGTCCAGTCTGTCTTATCCTGTTATAGCATGTTGACAGCTTCTAGCTGATGTGCACATTTGTGGAATTCACAGTCGAGTCTGTCTTATCCTGTTATAGTATGTTGACAGCTTCTAGCTGATGTGCACATTTGTGGAATTCACAGTCGAGTCTGTCTTATCCTGTTATAGCATGTTGACAGCTTCTAGCTGATGTGCACATTTGTGGAATTCACAGTCGAGTCTGTCTTATCCTGTTATAGCATGTTGACAGCTTCTAGCTGATGTGCACATTTGTGGAATTCACAGTCGAGTCTGTCTTATCCTGTTATAGTATGTTGACAGCTTCTAGCTGATGTGCACATTTGTGGAATTCACAGTCGAGTCTGTCTTATCCTGTTATAGCATGTTGACAGCTTCAAGTTGATGTGCACATTTGTGGAATTCACAGTCGAGTCTGTCTTATCCTGTTATAGTATGTTGACAGCTTCTAGTTGATGTGCACATTTGTGGAATTCACAGTCGAGTCTGTCTTATCCTGTTATAGCATGTTAACAGCTTCAAGTTGATGTGCACATTTGTGGAATTCACAGTCGAGTCTGTCTTATCCTGTTATAGTATGTTGACAGCTTCTAGTTGATGTGCACATTTGTGGAATTCACAGTCGCACTCCAGATGAATAGTATCACTCTGTTGTGACTATCATGAATCTTGTCTCCGTGTGTATGATCACTGTTTCAAAAAACACATTCCATCTTTTCACCACAACTACATTATTTCCTGTTGCCTAGTGATTACTGATGTGGGATAATTAGTCTGGTACAGATGACCTGTGGGTGTCTTCAAGCACTGGTCGGGTGTCTTCAAGCACTGGTCGGGTGTCTTCAAGCACTGGTGGGTCGTCTGTGGTAGTGTTCCATGTCAGCCTCCTCCACTGCCCTGACCTTAACTCACATAGACTCTGCCAACTGGATTGTGTTCCAGCCCGATGTCGTGATTGATGCCAAGCTTGGTAAGTAGGAAGATGGTTGTGTCTACGGTAAGATAATTACAGGATGACGTTTGTTTAAGATTTTGTTGAAAAAGAGAGGAAAGTTAATTTTGAAAGGACTTTTGAAATTGAAATCTGTGTATTACCCATAAGCTCAGGTCGTCGTTATTCTCTCTACCCAGAGATCTCTTAAAGATAATTACATTTCACCTAAATAGAAATGTTATAACTTAATGGATGATTGAAAGATGTGTGCAAGGTCTGTGAAGGTCATGATATGTTCTGGCCCTGTGTGACAGTTTGCCTGTGTGATACATTTCATAATCTCCTGTGACAGGTTGCCTGTGTGATATATATCCTATTCCTTGTGTGACAATTTGTCTGTGTGATATATATCTTATTCCTTGTGTGACAGGTTGGCTGTGTGACATATATCCTATTCCACTGTATGACAGGTTGCATGTGTGATATATATCTTATTCCTTGTGTGACAGGTTGCCTGTGTGATATCTGTCATATTCCACTGTGTGACAGGTTGCATGTGATATATATCCTATTCCTTGTGTGACAGGTTGCCTGTGTAATATCTGTCATATTCCACTGTGTGACAGGTTGCATGTGTGATATATTTCCTATTCCTTGTGTGACAGGTTGCCTGTGTGATATATATCATTGTCTCCTGTGACAGGTTACCTGTGTGATATCTGTCATATTCCACTGTGTGACAGGTTGCCTGTGTGATATCTGTCATATTCCACTGTGTGACAGGTTGCCTGTGTGATATATATCCTATTCCCTGTGTGACAGGTTGCCTGTGTGATATATATCATTGTCTCCTGTGACAGGTTGCCTGTGGTATATCAAGCTTCATCTGGAGCCCTTGGTCACCATGCTGCCTGACAAGGTTTGTACACAGTTGTCTCCCTTTGATTGTTCAAGGCGATGTTTTAAAGTCTTTAGATGTTTGCCTGAAAGTAGGCTTATTATAATAAAAAGAATTTTGCAATAGTTTTGAGTTTAATAAGCTGGATATTTTTTATTTTTGGATTAAACACCACAGTAATTTAATCAATAGAGCTTCTTATGAATTTAGTTTAGAAGTGAGACTTGAGGCAGATTTTATACTTCTTGAAAATGTCATTCATGTAAGTCTAATACAGTATCTTCTAGATACTGTATTTACATGCAGAGTTTGAAATTAAGGAGGTCCTGCAGGTCTTGCACCCTCAAATCTGTAACTTTAAACATTCATGTCGTACAAGGACCCTTGATCTATCTCTGTCATCACATGATCTCCTGAAGTTTCACGTTGTGCCTCTGTCATCTCCTGTTGTTTCACGTTGTGCCTCTGTCATCTCCTGTTGTTTCACGTTGTGCCTCTGTCATCTCCTGTAGTTTCACGTTGTGCCTCAGTCATCTCCTGTAGTTTCAGATTGAGCCTCTGTCATCTCCTGTAGTTTCACAATGTGCCTCTGTCATCTCCTGTTGTTTCACGTTGTGCCTCTGTCATCTCCTGTAGTTTCACATTGAGCCTCTGTCATCTCCTGTTATGTCACGTGGAGCCTCTGTCATCTCCTATAGTTTCACGTTGTGTCTCTGTCATCTCCTATAGTTTCACGTTGAGCCTCTGTCATCTCCTATAGTTTCATGTCGTGTCTCTGTTATCTCCTGTTATGTCACGTTGTGCTTCTGTCATCTCCTGTAGTTTCACGTTGTGCCTCTGTCATCTCCTGTTGTTTCACGTTGTGCCTCTGTCATCTCCTGTAGTTTCACGTTGTGCCTCTGTCATCTCCTATAGTTTCACGTTGAGCCTCAGTCATCTCCTATAGTTTCACGTTGTGCCTCAGTCATCTCCTGTGGTTTCACATTGAGCCTCTGTCATCTCCTGTAGTTTCACGTTGTGCCTCTGTCATCTCCTATAGTTTCATGTCGTGTCTCTGTTATCTCCTGTTATGTCACGTTGAGCCTCTGTCAGCTCCTATAGTTTCACGTTGTGCCTCTGTCATCTCCTATAGTTTCCTGTCGTGTCTCTGTTATCTCCTGTTATGTCACGTTGTGCCTCTGTCATCTCCTGTAGTTTCACGTTGTGCCTCTGTCATCTCCTGTAGTTTCACGTTGTGCCTCTGTCATCTCCTGTAGTTTCATGTTGTGCCTCAGTCATCTCCTGTAGTTTCATGTTGTGCCCCTGTCATCTCCTATAGTTTCACGTTGTGCCTCATTCATCTCCTGTAGTTTCACGTTGTGCCTCAGTCATCTCCTGTTGTTTCAGTGCAAGTTGATCCAGTTCCTGCTGTGTCGCCAGGAGAGCAAGATGGTGATCCTCTCCGTGTGTCGGCAGATGCTGGTGCCGGGGCAGCAGGTCAACCTGCACATCATCTCCCAGGTGTACGACATGCTGAACCACGTGTACAAGGCGTACCGGGACGTGGAGTCGCAGGCCATGGTCAGTCCTCATGCTTCTTGTACCTCGGAGTGACATCACACTTAGTACAATGCAAAACAATCAACAATCTTGGAAATGATTTCAATTGTCTACTCAATCAATTTTTAATTACCGGTAATTTATGCTACACACATTTCATTTTTCAAATCTTCTGGATATTTTTTTGTCATTATCTGTTCCTTTTGCATTTTGGATCATGGCACATTCCTTTCCAGCTAATAAGCTGAATCTTGGCAAATGCTGCACTTATTTTGATTGGCTCACGTTTCATGTTCACCAAATCAAAGTTGAGGTTACTTAATGCTCAACTGCATGTTGTTGCTGCAACACATGTGGATCTGCGAACATCCGGGCCAGAATAGGTCTTCATCAACCCATGTTTGCTGTAACAGGTGACTATGCTTGTCTTAAGAGGAGACTCATGGGATCGGTTGGCTAGGCTCGCTGACTTAGTAGATGCATGTCATCGTATCCCAATTGTGTAGATTGATGCTCATGATATCAATCTCTGGATTGTCTGGTGCAGACTCTATTATTTACAGACTGTCGTCATATAGCTGGAATATTGCTGAGTGCAGCGTTAAACAACAAACAAACAAACACATACAACACATGATTATGATGACTAATACATGAGCACTAGGCACCAAGACTTGTTGAGGGATTAATCAAGTCACAGAACGTATTTGTCCCCAGGCAGGGGAGATATCAACAGCCATGACCAAATTTTGGAAGAGGAAGGTGATCATTGACCAGTCGGACATGTACACGCATGTCTTCTCCGTGTTCGAGGACTGCAAGGTGAGGGAAGGGTGGCAGGCATTGTACACTGAACACAGTTTCATATGGTTTCATGTTCTCAGATAGGACACAGTTTCATATGGTTTCATGTTCTTAGATAGGACACAGTCTCATATGGTTTCATGTTCTTAGATAGGACACAGTCTCATATGGTTTCATGTTCTCAGATACGACACAGTTTCATATGGTGTCATGTTCTCAGAAAGGACTCAGTTTCATATGGTTTCATGTTGGCAGATAGGACACAGTTTCATGTGGTTTCATGTTGGCAGATAGGACACAGTTTCATATGGTTTCATGTTCTTAGATAGGACACAGTTTCATATGGTTTCATGTTCTTAGATAGGACACAGTCTCATATGGTTTCATGTTCTCAGATAGGACACAGTCTCATATGGTTTCATGTTCTCAGATAGGACACAGTTTCATATGGTTTCATGTTGGCAGATAGGACACAGTTTCATATGGTTTCATGTTCTCAGATAGGACACAGTTTCATATGGTGTCATGTTCTCAGATAGGACTCAGTTTCATATGGTTTCATGTTCTCCGATAGGACACAGTTTCATATGGTTTCATGTTGGCAGATAGGACACAGTTTCATATGGTTTCATGTTCTCAGACAGGACACAGTTTCATATGGTGTCATGTTCTCAGATAGGACACAGTTTCATATGGTTTCATGTTCTCAGATGGGACTTAGTCTAATATGGTTTCATGTCGGCAGATAGGACAGTTTCATATGGTTTCATGTTGGCAGATAGGACAGTTTCATATGGTGTCATGTTCTCAGAAAGGACACGGTTTCATATGGTTTCATGTTCTCAGATAGGACACAGTTTCATATGGTTTCATGTTGGCAGATAGGACAAAGTTTCATATGGTTTCATGTCGGCAGATAGGACACAGTTTCATATGGTTTCATGTTTTCAGATAGGACACAGTTTCATGTGGTTTCATGTTGGCAGATAGGACACAGTTTCATATGGTTTCATGTTGGCAGATAGGACACAGTTTCATATGGTTTCATGTTGGCAGATAGGACACAGTTTCATATGGTTTCATGTCGGCAGATAGGACACAGTTTCATATGGTTTCATGTTGGCAGATAGGACACAGTTTCATATGGTTTCATGTTCTCAGATAGGAAACAGTTTCATATAGTTTCATGTTCTCCGATAGGACACAGTTTCATATGGTTTCATGTTCTTAGATAGGACACAGTCTCATATGGTTTCATGTTCTTAGATAGGACACAGTCTCATATGGTTTCATGTTCTCAGATAGGACACAGTTTCATATGGTGTCATGTTCTCAGATAGGACACAGTTTCATGTGGTTTCATGTTCTCAGATAGGAAACAGTTTCATATAGTTTCATCTTCTCAGATAGGACACAGTTTCATATGGTTTCATGTTCTTAGAAAGGACACAGTCTCATATGGTTTCATGTTCTTAGATAGGACACAGTCTCATATGGTTTCATGTTCTCAGATAGGACACAGTTTCATATGGTTTCATGTTCTCAGATAGGACAAAGTTTCATATGGTTTCATGTCGGCAGATAGGAAACAGGTTCATATGGTTTCATGTTGGCAGATAGGACAGTTTCATATGGTGTCATGTTCTCAGAAAGGACACAGTTTCATATGGTTTCATGTTCTCAGATAGGACACAGTTTCATATGGTTTCATGTCGGCAGATTGGACAAAGTTTCATATGGTTTCATGTTGGCAGATAGGACACAGGTTCATGTGGTTTCATGTTGGCAGATAGGACACAGTTTCATATGGTTTCATGTTGGCAGATAGGACACAGTTTCATATGGTTTCATGTTGGCAGATAGGACACAGTTTCATATGGTTTCATGTTCTCAGATAGGAAACAGTTTCATATAGTTTCATGTTCTCCGATAGGAAACAGTTTCATATGGTTTCATGTTCTTAGATAGGACACAGTCTCATATGGTTTCATGTTCTCAGATAGGACACAGTCTCATATGGTTTCATGTTCTCAGATAGGACACAGTTTCATATGGTTTCATGTTGGCAGATAGGACACAGTTTCATATGGTTTCATGTTCTCAGATAGGACACAGTTTCATATGGTGTCATGTTCTCAGATAGGACTCAGTTTCATATGGTTTCATGTTCTCCGATAGGACACAGTTTCATATGGTTTCATGTTGGCAGATAGGACACAGTTTCATATGGTTTCATGTTCTCAGATAGGACACAGTTTCATATGGTGTCATGTTCTCAGATAGGACACAGTTTCATATGGTTTCATGTTCTCAGATAGGACTTAGTCTCATATGGTTTCATGTTGGCAGATAGGACAGTTTCATATGGTTTCATGTTGGCAGATAGGACAGTTTCATATGGTGTCATGTTCTCAGAAAGGACACAGTTTCATATGGTTTCATGTTCTCAGATAGGACACAGTTTCATATGGTTTCATGTCGGCAGATAGGACAAAGTTTCATATGGTTTTATGTTGGGAGATAGGACACAGTTTCATATGGTTTCATGTTCTCAGATAGGACACAGTTTCATGTGGTTTCATGTTGGCAGATAGGACACAGTTTCATATGGTTTCATGTTCTCAGATAGGAAACAGTTTCATATAGGTTCATGTTCTCAGATAGGACACAGTTTCATGTGGTTTCATGTTGGCAGATAGGACACAGTTTCATATGGTTTCATGTTGGCAGATAGGACACAGTTTCATATGGTTTCATGTTGGCATATAGGACACAGTTTCTTATGGTTTCATGTTGGCAGATAGGACACAGTTTCATGTGGTTTCATGTTCTCCGATAGGACACAGTTTCATATGATGTCATGTTCTCAGATAGGACACAGTTTCATATGGTGTCATGTTCTCAGATAGGACACAGTTTCATATGGTGTCATGTTCTCAGATAGGACACAGTTTCATATGGTTTCATGTTCTCAGATAGGACACAGTTTCATATGGTGTCATGTTCTCAGATAGGACACAGTTTCATATGGTTTCATGTTCTCAGATAGGACACAGTTTCATGTGGTTTCATGTTCTCAGATAGGACACAGTTTCATATGGTGTCATGTTGGCAGATAGGACACAGTTTCTTATGGTTTCATGTTGGCAGATAGGACACAGTTTCATATGGTGTCATGTTCTCAGATAGGACACAGTTTCATATGGTTTCATGTTCTCAGATGGGACACAGTTTCATATGGTGTCATGTTCTCAGATAGGACACAGTTTCATATGGTGTCATGTTCTCAGATAGGACACAGTTTCATATGGTGTCATGATCTCAGATAGGACACAGTCTCATATGGTTTCATGTTGGCCGATAGGACATAGTTTCATATGGTTTCATGATCTCAGATAGGACACAGTTTCATATGGTTTCATGCTATGTACTGTGTGTCTTTGAAAATGCCTGACCATTTCTTAATGTTCAAGTTTGTAAAATACGTATGTCATGTACATAGACATCAAGTATATATTACAGGTGTATTTGCCAAGGGCATTGAGTGCAAGTTATATGAATGTTTGTGGATATTTTGTGTTTGTTTGCTTAGGACATCAAGTACAAGTTTATGGTGGCAGTCCTCATAGAGTACATCCGATCACTGAACCAGTTCAACATTCCAGTGCAGGTAGGCAGCCCTACAGCTTGCTAAGACTTCGTACCTAAGTATAATACATATTGTCTGTATAAGCATACTCTGACCTCGTAACTAAGTATTATACATTTTGTCTGTACAAGCATACTCAGACCTCATACCTAAGTATTATAAATTTTGTCTGTACAAGCATACTAAGACTTTGTACCTAAGTATAATACATATTGTCCGTACAAGCATACTAAGACTTCGTAACTAAGTATAATACATATTATCTGTACAAGCATACTCAGACTTTGTAACTAAGTATAATACATGTTGTCTGTACAAGCATACTCAGACTTTGTAACTAAGTATAATACATATTGTCTGTACAAGCATACTCAGACTTCGTAACTAAGTATAATACATATTGTCTGTACAAGCATACTCAGACTTTGTAACTAAGTATAATATATATTGTCTGTACAAGTATACTCAGACTTTGTAACTAAGTATAATATATATTGTCTGTACAAGCAAACTCAGACTTTGTAACTAAGTATAGTATATCTGCAGCACTACCTATACGAGCTGATCATCAATATCCTCGTCCACAACAACTGCTTCTACCAGCTCCATCAGTTTCTGCAGTACCACGTCCTCAGCGACTCCAAACCCCTGGTGAGTCTAAACCTGCCTCTGGTGAGTCCAACCCCCTGGTGAGTCCAAGCTCTGGTGAGTCCAAACCCCTGGTGAGTCCAACCTCAGGTGAGTCCAACCTCTGGTGAGTCCAAACCCCTGGTGAGTCTAAACCCCCAGTGAGTCTAAACCCCTGGTGAGTCAAAACCCATTGTGAGTCAAAACCCCCAGTGAATCCAACCCCAGACGAGTCAAACCCCTGGTGAGTCAAAACCCCTGGTGAGTCTAAACACCCCAGTGAGTCTAAACCCCCTAAGTGAGTCTAAACCTCCTTGTAATTCTAAACCCCTGGTGAGTCCAACCCCAGACGAGTCCAACCCCTGGTGAGTCTAAACCCCTAGTGAGTCTAAACCCCTGGTGAGTCCAACCCCTGGTGAGTCCAACCCCTGGTGAGTCAAAACCCCTGGTGAATCTGCATGGCTTTGATATCATGTGTTGGTTTGAGGGGTTGGAGATCCTCATACATGTGTGAGTTAGCATGGCTTTGATATCATGTGTTGGTTTAAGGGGTAGGAGATCCTCATACATGTGTGAGTTAGCATGGCTTCGATATCATGTGTTGGTTTAAGGGGTAGGAGATCCTCATACATGTGTGAGTTAGCATGGCTTCGATATCATGTGTTGGTTTAAGGGGTAGGAGATCCTCATACATGTGTGAGTTAGCATGGCTTTGATATCATGTGTTGGTTAGAGGGGTAGGAGATCCTCATACATGTGTGAGTTAGCATGGCTTTGATATCATGTGTTGGTTTGAGGGGTAGGAGATCCTTGTACATGTGTGAGTTAGCATGGCTTTGATATCATGTGTTGGTTTAAGGGGTAGGAGATCCTCATACATGTGTGAGTTAGCATGGCTTTGATATCATGTGTTGGTTAGAGGGGTAGGAGATCCTCATACATGTGTGAGTTAGCATGGCTTTGATATCATGTGTTGGTTTAAGGGGTAGGAGATCCTCATACATGTGTGAGTTAGCATGGCTTTGATATCATGTGTTGGTTAGAGGGGTAGGAGATCCTCATACATGTGTGAGTTAGCATGGCTTTGATATCATGTGTTGGTTTAAGGGGTAGGAGATCCTCATACATGTGTGAGTTAGCATGGCTTCGATATCATGTGTTGGTTTAAGGGGTAGGAGATCCTCATACATGTGTGAGTTAGCATGGCTTTGATATCATGTGTTGGTTTGAGGGGTTGGAGATCCTCATACATGTGTGAGTTAGCATGGCTTTGATATCATGTGTTGGTTTAAGGGGTAGGAGATCCTCATACATGTGTGAGTTAGCATGGCTTCGATATCATGTGTTGGTTTAAGGGGTAGGAGATCCTCATACATGTGTGAGTTAGCATGGCTTCGATATCATGTGTTGGTTTAAGGGGTAGGAGATCCTCATACATGTGTGAGTTAGCATGGCTTTGATATCATGTGTTGGTTAGAGGGGTAGGAGATCCTCATACATGTGTGAGTTAGCATGGCTTTGATATCATGTGTTGGTTTGAGGGGTAGGAGATCCTTGTACATGTGTGAGTTAGCATGGCTTTGATATCATGTGTTGGTTTAAGGGGTAGGAGATCCTCATACATGTGTGAGTTAGCATGGCTTTGATATCATGTGTTGGTTAGAGGGGTAGGAGATCCTCATACATGTGTGAGTTAGCATGGCTTTGATATCATGTGTTGGTTTAAGGGGTAGGAGATCCTCATACATGTGTGAGTTAGCATGGCTTTGATATCATGTGTTGGTTAGAGGGGTAGGAGATCCTCATACATGTGTGAGTTAGCATGGCTTTGATATCATGTGTTGGTTTAAGGGGTAGGAGATCCTCATACATGTGTGAGTTAGCATGGCTTCGATATCATGTGTTGGTTTAAGGGGTAGGAGATCCTCATACATGTGTGAGTTAGCATGGCTTTGATATCATGTGTTGGTTTGAGGGGTTGGAGATCCTCATACATGTGTGAGTTAGCATGGCTTTGATATCATGTGTTGGTTTAAGGGGTAGGAGATCCTCATACATGTGTGAGTTAGCATGGCTTCGATATCATGTGTTGGTTTAAGGGGTAGGAGATCCTCATACATGTGTGAGTTAGCATGGCTTCGATATCATGTGTTGGTTTAAGGGGTAGGAGATCCTCATACATGTGTGAGTTAGCATGGCTTTGATATCATGTGTTGGTTTGAGGGGTAGGAGATCCTCATACATGTGTGAGTTAGCATGGCTTTGATATCATGTGTTGGTTTAAGGGGTAGGAGATCCTCATACATGTGTGAGTTAGCATGGCTTTGATATCATGTGTTGGTTAGAGGGGTAGGAGATCCTCATACATGTGTGAGTTAGCATGGCTTCGATATCATGTGTTGGTTTGAGGGGTAGGAGATCCTCATACATGTGTGAGTTAGCATGGCTTTGATATCATGTGTTGGTTTAAGGGGTAGGAGATCCTCATACATGTGTGAGTTAGCATGGCTTTGATATCATGTGTTGGTTTAAGGGGTAGGAGATCCTCATACATGTGTGAGTTAGCATGGCTTTGATATCATGTGTTGGTTAGAGGGGTAGGAGATCCTCATACATGTGTGAGTTAGCATGGCTTCGATATCATGTGTTGGTTTAAGGGGTAGGAGATCCTCATACATGTGTGATTTAGCATGGCTTTGATATCATGTGTTGGTTTGAGGGGTAGGAGATCCTCATACATGTGTGAGTTAGCATGGCTTCGATATCATGTGTTGGTTTAAGGGGTAGGAGATCCTCATACATGTGTGAGTTAGCATGGCTTTGATATCATGTGTTGGTTTGAGGGGTAGGAGATCCTTGTACATGTGTGAGTTAGCATGGCTTTGATATCATGTGTTGGTTTGAGGGGTAGGAGATCCTTGTACATGTGTGAGTTAGCATGGCTTTGATATCATGTGTTGGTTTAAGGGGTAGGAGATCCTCATACATGTGTGAGTTAGCATGGCTTCGATATCATGTGTTGGTTTAAGGGGTAGGAGATCCTCATACATGTGTGAGTTAGCATGGCTTCGATATCATGTGTTGGTTTAAGGGGTAGGAGATCCTCATACATGTGTGAGTTAGCATGGCTTCGATATCATGTGTTGGTTTAAGGGGTAGGAGATCCTCATACATGTGTGATTTAGCATGGCTTTGATATCATGTGTTGGTTTGAGGGGTAGGAGATCCTTGTACATGTGTGAGTTAGCATGGCTTTGATATCATGTGTTGGTTTGAGGGGTAGGAGATCCTCGTACATGTGCGAGTGGCATGAAAAGGCAGTTTCCACTTGTAAATCAAATAAAAAGGAGGAATAACTTCCTCTTTTTGTCTTTGTGAGTTACTTCTTAAAAACTTCGGGGTTTAAGAGAAAAATATCAACTGGGGAAATAATCTGTAAAGAGGAACTGCAAATGACACACTTGCAAGATCCGAAGCCGTTACTACTGGTGCCACTATTGGGGTGATGAGAGTGCCCAGTGATGAAGCAAGCACACTGTATCTACACTGTATCTACACTGCTCTATCCCTGGGTGTTGCAGGCCTGTCTCATGCTGTCACTGGAGAGTGTGTATCAGCCGGCCCACCAACTGGCTCTCGATATGCTCAAGGTCAGTTCCCATACTTGTGTTTTCTGCTTTCTACCTGAACCCCTTAGCAACTAAGAACATCTCCCTTGCTACCTGAAACACTCCCTAGCAACATGAAACACTGAAGGATCCTAGTAACTTTAAACATTGCCTTAGACCTTAGAAACCTTAAATATTCACAGCAATCTGGCAGACCTTAGAAACCTAAAACATTGCTTAGCAGCCCGACAGACCTTAGAAACCTTAAATATTCACAGCAACCTGACAGACCTTAGAAACCTAAAACATTGCTTAGCAATCTGACAGACCATAGGAACCGAAAACAGTGCCTAGCAACCTGACAGACCTTATTAACCTAAAACATTGCCTAGCAACCTGGCAGACCTTAGGAACCTAAAACAGTGTCCAGCAACCTGTCTGACCTTAGAAACCTTAAATATTCACAGCAACCTCACAGACCCTAGATATCTAAAATATTGCTTAGCATCCTGACAGACCTTAGGAACCTAAAACATTGCTAAGCAACCTGACAGACCTTAGGAACCTAAAGCATCGCTAAGCAACCCGACAGACCTTAGGAACCTAAAACATTGCTAAGCAACCTGACAGAGCTTAGGCACGTAAAACATTGCTAAGCAACCTGACAGACCTTAGGAACCTAAAACATTGCTATGCAACCTGACAGACCTTAGGAACCTAAAACATCGCTAAGCAACCTGACAGACCTTAGGAACCTAAAACATTGCTAAGCAACCTGACAGACCTTAGGAACCTAAAACATTGCTAAGCAACCTGACAGACCTTAGGAACCTTAAACATGTTGTATGTCATTGTATCCCAATTGCGTACATCGGTGCTCATTGTCTGGTTCAGATTATTATTTACAGACTGCCATAGCTGGAATATTGCCGAGTGTGGCATTGAACAAAGTTGCCTTGCAACCTTCAACATTTCCCCAACAACTCTGTGCTATTTGTTGATGTGACAACTGACTGTGCAGCCTTCTTATCAAGGCCAAATTGTTTATAACCTGCAGCAATATTTGTTTGTAATTATTGACATGTATCTCTTGACGGAGTGTGATGTGTATTTCACAGAGACTTCAGACAGCCAATGAGGAGATCATCGAGGTCCTGTTGTCCAAGCAGCAACTCCTGCCGGCACTCAGGTAGGTGGCGCTACCCTCACTTCCTGCCCTCTCACTCAGGTAGGTGGCGCTACCCTCACTTCCTGCCCTCTCACTCAGGTAGGTGGCGCTACCCTCACATGCTGCCCTCTCACTCAGGTAGGTGGCGCTACCCTCACTTCCTGCCCTCTCACTCAGGTAGGTGGCGCTACCCTCACATGCCGCCCTATCACTCAGGTAGGTGGCGCTACCCTCACTTCCTGCCCTCTCACTCAGGTAGGTGGCGCTACCCTCACATGCTGCCCTCTCACTCAGGTAGGTGGCGCTTCCCTCACATGCCGCCCTCTCACTCAAGTAGGTGGCGCTACCCTCACTTCCTGCCGGCACTCAGGTAGGTGGCGCTACCCTCACATGCCGCCCTCTCACTCAGGTAGGTGGCGCTACCCTCACTTGCTGCCCTCTCACTCAGGTAGGTGGCGCTACCCTCACTTCCTGCCGGCACTCAGGTAGGTGGCGCTACCCTCACATGCTGCCCTCTCACTCAGGTAGGTGGCGCTACCCTCACTTGCTGCCCTCTCACTCAGGAAGGTGGCGCTACCCTCACTTCCTGCCCTCTCACTCAGGTAGGTGGCGCTACCCTCACATGCTGCCCTCTCACTCAGGTAGGTGGCGCTTCCCTCACATGCCGCCCTCTCACTCAGGTAGGTGGCGCTACCCTCACTTACTGCCCTCTCACTCAGGTAGGTGGCGCTACCCTCACATGCTGCCCTCTCACTCAGGTAGGTGGCGCTACCCTCACTTACTGCCCTCTCACTCAGGTAGGTGGCGCTACCCTCACATGCCGCCCTCTCACTCAGGTAGGTGGCGCTACCCTCACTTGCTGCCCTCTCACTCAGATAGTTGGCGCTACCCTCACTTCCTGCCCTCTCACTCAGATAGGTGGCGCTACCCTCACTTCCTGCCCTCTCACTCAGGTAGGTGGCGCTACCCTCACTTCCTGCCCTGTCACTCAGATAGGTGGCGCTCAGATATAGAAATGGGTTCCGTCCGTGTGTGCGTGTGTGTGTGTGCGTGTGTGCGTCCCGAAATCGTTTCCGGAGCATAACTCAGAAACCGTTAAATATTTCTCTACGAAACTTTGCATGTCTACCAGATTTATGCTGAACTGGTGCCTTTTGCTATTTAGGAATTTTATAAATTTTTATTTTTTACGTTTCCATGGCAACAAGTTGGACTTAGGTTCTATAAGGGTGCCGTTCGTTTCCGGAGCGTAACTCAAAACTGGTTAAATAATTTCTTACAAAACTTTGCATGTTTACCAGACACATACTGAACTGGTGCCTTTTGCTATTTAGGAATTTTACAAATTTTATTGTTTAAGTTTCCATGGCAACAAGTTGGACTTAGGTTCTATAAGGGTGTAGTTCGTTTCCGGAGCGTAACTCAAAAACCATTATTTCCATTGCAACAAGTTGGACTTAGGTTCTATAGGGTAGAGTTTGTTTCCGGAGCTTAACTCAAAAACCATTAAATAATTTCTTACAAAACTTTGCATGTTTACCAGACACATACTGAACTGGTGCCTTTTGCTATTTAGGAGTTTTACAAATTTTAATTTTTTACGTTTCCATGGCAACAAGTTGGACTTAGGTTCTATAGGGGTGGTGTTCGTTTCCAGAGCGTAACTCAAAAACCGTTAAATACTTTCTTACAAAACTTTGCATGTCTACCAGGCACATACTGAACTGGTGCCTTTTGATATATAGCACTTTTAGAAATTTTTATTGTTCATGTTTCCATGACAAGAAGTTGGATTTAAGTTTTAATATAGGATTGGTTTACTTAAGGAGTATAACAAATAAACTGTTAAATATTTCCTTGCCAAACATTGCATGTCTATATATAAAGCGCATACTGAACTAGTGCCATTTGATATTAAGGAGTTTTAGAAATGTTTATGTTAGAATTTCCATTGCAGCTATTTTGACATTGGCTAAGAGAAATGTTGGGTCAGTTACCTGGTTTGGGACCATAACATGTTAAAATGGGCGGGGGATATAGATGACTTTGTCAACTATACGCTTGTTTAAGTAGTGTTATCATGCCGAGCTGGTTATGAGTACGTGAGTGAGAATGGTTTTACACCGTTTTTTGCAGTATTCCATTAACAACATGACAGGGGACATTAGATATGATCTGGTTATATCTTATCCCAAGGACCCTCACTAGGTAAAGTATTGGAAATAGTGCTTTTGTATTGTGTGATATTGTTTGTTTATGATGGCTTTGCAGTAACTGACCAACAATGTGCCAGTGTGTTGTCTGTGTTCAACAGTTAATGGTTGGTGTTCATGCCAGGTTTATCCGGAGTGTGGGGATCCAGGACACGGTGTCAGCCCGTAAGTTCCTGGAGACAGCCATGCACACACAGGACAACATGCTGTTCTTCACCGTCTTCAAGTTCTTTGAGCAGAGAAACCTCAAGCTGAAGCTCAACCCCCGCTTCCAACCAGGTGAGTTTCAACAGGTTCTGTTGTCCCTTCATTCAGGTGAGCTTCAATAGATTCTGTTGTTCCTTCAACCAGGTGAGCTTCAACAGAAAGTGTTGTCCCTTCATTCATGAGTTCCAACAGAGTATGTTGTCTCTTTATCCAGGTGAGTTTCAACACATTCTATTGTTCCTATATCCAGGTGAGCTTCAACAGCTTCTGTTGTTCCTTCATTTAGGTGAGCTTCAGAGTATGTTGGCCCTTTAACTATTGATTGCATGGAAACATACCCTGACGATGTGGCATCTTGTTCATCGATCACAGGATCTTCTGGTCCAGGGTTGATTAGTTAAGGCCGCCATCATATAGCTGGAATAATATTGCTGTGGGTGGTGATGAACAACAATGAATCAAGGGACAAGATTGCATGCAGATGCTTGGTTAAAACAATGACACCTGCATCGTTGGCACGCCATGAGATACACATACCAACATAGTATTTCTCCCTTCCTTGCCTTCTGGTGCAGACCCACTGATTAAGTCTCTTTTTGAGCCTCCACGCTCCATCAAAACCTGCTTCATTTTCCAGGGGACTACTGTGAGCAGTATGTGAGGCAGTTTGAGTCGCTGTTCGGCACGGATGCCCTGTCTCCCATCCCGCCCCTGGCGTGATCAGCCAACATCACCGGAGCCAACATCACCGGAGCCAACATCACCTGACCAGCTCTTCAGGGAACATGTGCAATCTCCGCTCACCTGGCACACAGACCAGTCTCATAAGAAACAAAGATGCTGCATAAATAACATTGGCCCGACCTCCATGTACAAACCAAGTCATCCATCTTGTGATTATTAATGACATACTTGTTATTCATGAGATATGGTAAAGTGTAATAGTATCAACAACCACTGAACATGAGGCTTTCCCAACTTTCTGGCAGTATGCCAAGAGGCTGGACGAAAACAATGTTAGGGTTCATTTTTGTTTTGGTTTGTGAATCGGTCTGGCCTGAATATATTGTTTTCTCAAACTTTTTTTTCGCAGCTGGCCTGAATATAATGTTGTTTATACCTTTTAACAATTTGTTGTCCAGAGTACAAAAGTTGAACTTTCCGAGTTACGACTACACACTGTGGTTGTCACATTGTAGTTCAGTACCCAGCGACATCCTTGTGAAGCAGAAGGTGGCAGATACCTATTGTGAATGCACGGACACAAATAAAATCATTTGTGAAACTGTGGAGATGATGTACTTTGTGTTATCATAACCAAGTTTGGGAAGAACTTCATTAAATTGTAAAAATATTAAGCCTCAAATTTACTGTGGTACTAACATACGAGGAGTGTTCGTTAAGATTTCCCCTAAACCACTTAGGGTTATCATATTTGGTTGAAATTTCACATGTGTAATGATACATGTATCTATGGGTTATGTCTGAATTTGCAGCACCGAACTATTAATCTTACCACTTTTACAGGTGTTATGATCGAGAAGGGTGTGACAATGGAGCCAGTAGAATACCGAGCAGTGATTAGGTTTTTATATTTGAAAGGTCGCACACCAAAAGAAACTTTCGATGAAATGAAAGCAACTTATGGGGAAGATGCCCCATCATATGACGTTAAACACTGGCATCGCCAGTTCAAGTGTGGTCGGACATCTGTGGAAACAGGGGCCATTCCTGGTCGCCCCCATTCAGCCATTGATGAGGACACTATCCATCAAGTGGAGACCGCCATTTTGGCAGACCGACGTATAACTGTTCACCAGTTAGCACAAGATGTCAAGATCAGTGTAGGGTCTGTGGAAAAAATCATACATGACAATTTGAACATGCATAAGGTGTCTGCACGATGGATTCCCAGGTTGCTCACACCTTTCCAAAAGCAGGAACGAGTCAATTGCTCAAAGGATCTTTTGGACGTGCCAAAAAAATAGGCAAACTTTTTTGAAGGACTTATCACACAGGATGAATCATGGGTCCATCACTATGATCCTGAGACTAAAGTTCAGTCGATGTGGAGTCACCACCCCAAAAGAAGGCACGTGTCAAACCCTCTGCAGGCAAGGTCATGCTCACGGTGTTTTGGGACCAGCACAGAGTAGTGATGATGGATTTCTTGGCAAAGAGTATCACAATTACAGGAGCTTATTATGCTTCACTGCTGCGGAAATTGCGGGACGCTATCAAGCTTAAGAGACGTGGCATGCTGACCAAGGATGTCCGTCTCCTGCAAGACAATGCTCCAGTACACAACTCTCATGTTGCCCAGACAGAAGTGCGGTCCTGTGGCTATGAAATCCTTCCACATCCTCCTTACTCTCCTGACCTTGCACCATCTGACTTCCACCTCTTTCCAACCATGAAGTCATTTTTGAAGGGAAAACGTTTCACAGATGATGAAACACTGATTTCTGAAGTCAAGTCCTGGTTTGGGACGCAAAATGAGGGCTTTTACATGCGAGGTCTCCATAGTTGCATAAAACGATGGGAGAAGTGTGTTACTCTTGGTGGTTCCTATGTGGAGAAAGACTAATACCTGTGCCAAGTTTCATTCCACTAACTCCATCGGAAGTGGGTCAGGGGAAATCTTTAATGAACACACCTCGTAACACTGGTCTTCCTCCTACTTCCATATGTTGGGGCCTGTGATTTCTGATGAGCAGAGAATTACTTTGTATGTATCTATATGTGTACATTATTTATATGAAGGAATAAATTACTTCACTGGGAGAGCTCTTTTGTTATGAGTGTTGTGTAACAACTGTGCTCAGCAATATGATAGCGGCCTCTGGTTATGGAGCGAGTGAGTTGGATTTAACGCCACTTTTAACAGTATTCCAGTTATATCACGATGTGTCAGCTTCATGTGGGAGGAAAGCCCGAAGTGATGCAGGTCTTAGACGTTTACCACTTCGATGAAAACCCACAAGCACGGGTATGGTGCTGACTAACCTTGAAACATAATTGGGGCGAACACACTATCATAGGTTCTTGGCGTGCCCGAGGGACGCAACTCTGCATAGTAAATTGCCGTGCCTTAGACAACGTGGCCCATGCCCCCGGTTATGAAGTGAGGTGTAAGGGTTTAACATTGCGTTCATGATCTAGTAGCATGTGTGCCTGCTTGTACTATTCTGGATTGATGCACTGGAGGACTGGTCTGTCCTGGAATCCCTGTATGTACTGAAGGACTAGTCTGTCCTGGATGTACTGGAGGACTAGTCTGTCCTGGAATCCCTGTATGTACTGAAGGACTAGTCTGTCCTGGATGCAATGGAGGACTAGTCTGTCCTGGAATCCCTGGAGGACTAGTCTGTCCTGGAATCCTTGGAGGACGAGTCTGTCCTGGAATCCCTGGATTTACTGAAGGACTAGTCTGTCCTGGAATCCCTGGAGGACTAGTCTGTCCTGGAATCCCTGGAGGACTAGTCTGTCCTGGAATCCCTGGAGGACGAGTCTGTCCAGGATGCACTGGAGGACGAGTCTGTCCTGGAATCCCTGGCTGACTAGTTTGTCCTGGATGTGCTGGAACCTATAACATGGGCAGGCTCTTCCTCCATGACATACAAACAACAAGATATCTGGAAGTGCTCACCGCAGATCTTTATTGAACATCAACACACATGATCAGTACTAAGTCAGGCTGCATAGTTGGTTGTGGACTACAGTAGACATCAGTGAAAGGAGGACACAGCAACACTGCACAGACACGTGAACACGACTAGATACTACCTGGAGTTCAGGCGGCTTACATCAAAACTGGAAAACAACTGGAAATACATGTATCGGCGAGATGAGGTCAATGGGGGCTGAATGTCATGCTCAAGGTTATAGCAAGTAGAGAGATTTGTTTACTGATGTTCAAACTTAATCATTTAAAAACATACAAGCAGGATGGGGAGTTTGAAAGATTACTGGCCCCCCTAGAAAACTACTTGCCCAGATAGCGTGCAGGCAACTACTTTGAATGCTGCTTAGGAAACTGTAATATGATCCCTGCAGAATCCTTATCAGGACCAAGAACTAGACAATCTCAAATACATATGGTGGTTGCAAGGATGGCTTTCAGTGGACTTGATCAGACTAGTTGAGAATCAGTTCTAGACGGTGGGATTTCATACATAGAGTCTTCTGAGAAGCGAACTCAAACAGCTTGGTGAACTTATTTCCAGACTGCGACAACATAATTATAGCTACATCATTGGGATATAAACGTGGAACAGCATGAACAGAACGCTTGTGTACTGACTTTGTATGTCGATACTACACTGTCCCCCACCTACACATCTCGGCTCTCTTGCAGGACAGATTTATGAAGGATGAGGCAATATAAAACATGCTGACATACTGAAGTATTGATACAAATTGTTTCAACATCCAGGGATCTGTGTGGTCAGGCCGATATTCCAGCCCAGGTCTACAACAAGTGTTCCCGTATAGGAATGATATATTAATGAATTAGGTGACCATGCTATGATTATAGTTTGACTTTGCGAAGTGACTCGTATTCACTGACAGCACGGCTAATATGGATTTTATACTTTGCATAACTGCATTGAATACATGGATTACACTTCTCTGAATTTAAGAAAATCAGAACTCAAAAGTAATCTCAAGTTTGGACAAAATAATGCAATGGGCACTTATGTTTAAGTTCTCAGAAAACCATCTGATACATGTAAGTACATGTTTTGCTTATACATATATACTACTCAAAACAAGTTAAAGAACACCCACAATGGGAAGCCTGTGTGCTGCAATACCAACCAGCCATGACAGGCTAACTATAGTCACATGGAAATAGGGGGTATTCCTTAGCTCCTCTGGAGTAGTATACTTGCATATTTAAGGAAAGTGTTGCCGATTGTCATGAAACACCTCTATAATATGGAACACTTACAACCATGGTTGCGTTTGTGAATCACAGTTGCTCAGTCCACAGTCTGAGATCCAGTACAGCCATGGAACAAAATGGAAACATGCTGCACTACTGACTACAAACAAAACCATACAAAACTGAAAACTTAATGTCACACACTGACACACAGTCTGCCTCCGAACACATTTAGGTTGATGTGATACGCACAATGTAAATAATGCTGACTCGTCAGTATGTGAGTGAAATACACCGAGACTTTTCTCAACAGTTTGAGAAGCCAACAGCTGTTGTGATTCATCGATGTGGGGCACACAGCTCTGTACAACCATCAAAAAACATGTAGACTATACTACAGGGCATTGTTACATCAAAAAACAAAAACAGTTTATAAAAGCTCTGATGTTAGACATTTTTTTCATTTATGACAAGCATGCTGATTGTTGCAAAAGTGAAGAAAATATTTTTAAATCAAAAGCGCTGTTTGAACGAAAATATGTCTAATAAGCATATTTGCTTGTATTTTTATGGAAACTTGTTTGCAGACTTTAAGTTACGAAAATAACCTTAAAAAACAAATATTTTAGACCAAGAATGAAAATCTGTAAAACACAAAATTAAATTGTAAACTCTTAAGAATTTATTGGACAAGAACACAATATTGGTAAGTCGTATGTTTGTTCCTTACATACTTGCCTTGAATATATTTTCTTCACCGTACATTTCATTCTATAACTGGAAATCAAAACAAATTCCCAGAGTCACCGGTATACAACAAGAACAACATCCACATGTATTATGCATCCTAACACTTCCTCCTGCACGGACCGGTGTGATGGACCGGTGTGACGGACCGGTGTGACGAACCGGTGTGACGAACCGGTGTGACGGACCGATGTGACGGACCGGTGTGACGGAGTGTACATGACTTGGGTCTGGACGACCGTGGAATCTTCAGATGACATAAACAGTGATGCAAACAAAAATATAACTAACACATTTCAACAAAGTGAGAAACTGACGACCTCGATCAACTGTAACAACTTACATCCAGGAATAACGACACTGTAACCATGGTAAAAACAACACGATCAACAAACAGTCACCGCCACCGTGACACAGGATTTCAGATTGCTTCCTGTCGTATATTCAACAGCAATGAAGATCCCAAAGGTATCAATTTAGATTTGATGATATAATCATGTCCAATCAAGATTTGATGAAATCTCGAAAGATAACGTCGCTCCTTTGTAATATAGAAGTTGTTCATCCACATATGTGATCCTTACTTAGACAGTGTCAAGGTCGACACAACTGCTACATGAACACAACACAGTTGTAATTATGACCTAAGTTGTTCCTACACTGTGGTAGAACCTCCCTTGTGTGTCTACTGACATGGGAAACAAACTGATGCATATTAAACAGACACAGTAAAACATGGTTAGATCGAAACACCAAGGGACTTTTGAAATGTGTAGCAGTACTTCCCCCCTCCCCCCACCTATTTACATGTCATTCACTGGAGTATTTGGTTTATGTATGATTGAGAGAACTGTAGAAAACCAGGCAATTTCAACATGGACCGTGACGTATTTGTTACTGGAAGTCATATGCATCTCGTGTTACTGACTGACCAGTTGTTACTTGCGGAGCACGTACACCTGTTGATATTCGGGTGTGGTTGGGGTGGAACGTCTGGTTTCTGTCACCATAAATTTCTGGCAAACCTGTCAGATATTTGTCACTGACATGACATTATGTAATGTTATATCAGTGTTTGTTATGACCATGTTCTACTGCAGTTTGAAACCACGACATTTACAGCTGACAGGAAACAACAGCGTCAATGCAACTCAAACGCCCACTCCAGCCCTGCTCTCCTGCTGTGGTACAGGACATCTGTTATATACAACCCGACACAAGCTGAAGACGAACACATCTGTCTGATCACAGTGTTACGACTACCTTCACTCCCATACTATAACACATACTTACAATATCAGATTGATCGTCCAAATTTGGTACGGAGACACTAATAGCCATACTGTCACTGACATCAAGTCAACCCATCAGTGGCATTTCAACATGATTACCTACAGAAGAACCATACAGACATATTAATTGTACTCCCAACCATCACTTTTTGATTAAACAAAAATATATCACCGGAAACAGTTACTATGGTTACAAGAACAAAAACAAATTGCTGTTCATACTTTTTCCAGTACAAGGTTCAGAGGTCAACTGACGACCTTGCCAGACAACCTCCAACCTTGCATCATTTAAAGCAACTATTTACACATCAGTAAACAAGACCATGGACTAAGACGACACTACTCTCCCTTCGTGTGTTGTATAAAGCCGTTTGTCTGTCCATTCAAAAATTTCTTCCCATTTACAGGGGTGACACCTCTCTTGTTGACCCCGTTCACTCTGGGAACATCCGCCACGGAGTGAGTGTTTTTATGTTTGCGTATATAGGACTGGATGTAGAAGTTCCCAAACAGGCACAACATGACGACCATGTAGAGAGTGAGGAGCCACTGCCCCCAGCGCGGAAAGTCACATGACACACGCAGCGAGTTGGCCGTGTGGGTGAACGTGACGCAGAACTGAAACTGGAAGAGAAGAAACATCATTGATATCTGCTGACTTGCTGTCATTTTCTGTTTAATGCCGCACTCAGCAGTGTTCCAGCTATATGACAGCGGCCTGGAAATAATCGAGTCTGACCCAGACAATCCAATATTGTGAACAACACGCAATCAACCAAGTGTCTGAGTCTGACCACCCGACCCATTTGGTCATCTTGTACAACCAGCATGGGTTGCTGGGGACCAATTCTAACCCAGAATCCTACTGTGATTCCCTCAAATGTCCAAATGTTTAACTGTAGCCATGTACTGCTCTTACAATCTGACATTAATTGATCGCTACTACATACATGAGTAGCAATGAACCTCTCACACAGTAAAACAGAACACAGATGTACCCGACTACTAGCTACATCAACCGTGAAGATCCGGGGTAGAACAGGTCTTCAGCAACCCATGCCTACACCAGGATCAGGCTGCACCAGACTTGGTTGATGCATGTCATCAGTTAAAGTGTTTTTCACTATGGTTGCTGTGGTAGCCATGATGAAAATCGTATTTGAACTTCTTTAATAAATTCAGATGTCAAAATAGGCGCGAAGTTTCAGCATCTTTGGTCCCGTAATTTCTGAGGAGACAGGTAACACCAAAGATGGATGTCATACAAGCAGTCAGGTGACCTAAAATTGTAGAAAGGGAGGTAACTCCAACTGACCAACTGAAACTTGGTGATGTACTTCTTCCACCAGAGCTTGCCTCGGAGTGCAGGGATGGCAGACAGGCCGTAGTAGGAGTACATCACGATGTGGACGAGGCAGTTGAGCCAGCTGCCGAACCAGGCTGCAACACATTGGTTCACACACTCACTAATCATGACGTACGCAACATAGGGTCACACTGATCAATATACTCACTAATCATGACGTACGCAACATAGGGTCACACTGATCAATATACTCACTAATCAAGACATACACAACATAGGGTCACACTGATCAATGTACTTATTCATGCATAATATGTACAGTGATCCCTCGCTCCAACTCTACCTTTGGGGTCCAAATAATTGATGAGCGTTATAGATGATCAGCGGTTTAACGAAGGTCGAGTCGTAGGTGGTAGATGACCACAGTATACATGCTCTGTCACCTAACACGATCTACGTTTCAGAGTTTCAAAAAAAGATTAGAATAGGAGTTATTTATGATTCATTGTGTAAAAAAAAGATTTATCTAGTATCAATATGCGCTTTAAAAAAAAAACACATCGTATCCCTTCAGGTGAATAAACAGGTATAACAAACTTGGTCAATAAAAGTATGAAATTTGACATAAAACATCACCAAACATGATGATTTACCATTTAAACTGTATTTCCTGCTCTCAAAGGCATTGTTTTATATACAGAGATTAAGATTACTGTGTGCATTTTCTCGTAAACTAAGCCGGAAATAGCAGTCAGCTGTGCACATGTTTCCTCCCAATCTACCGGTGATTCAGTTAAAACGTACCCAGTGATACCACTTTAAAGAAATTTGAAGCAATGGTCGGAAGAAATTGTATCTGAAATTGTTATTTTATCAGGAATAATATATTCCAAAATCGTGTTATTTTAGTTGCAGCTTCCACCATATATACTTAAAATTATAAGAACCATAAGCGTAGCACTTTAGTACAAATTGTATGCAGGATATCTTTTTACGTATGAACGATTTTGACCAGTCACCGTAGGGACTTCCCGCACTACATGTATTTCGACTGCAAAAGTGTTATGTTGACATTTAATAGTCAAACTGCCTCAAATGTAACTTTTAGCAAGTCCATTCTCTTGCAACTAAAGTTCGTTTCAAGGCGTCAATAGCAGTAATCTGACCGTGGTTGCTATTAATAACCATGACTTGTGCAATCTACCGATCACTTCGCATACGATTTCGCCGAAATTATTGTAAACATTATTATAATTATTGAACGAAATTTTGAATATATCTAATATATATTGCAAACATTACTCCAGATAAATAATCATTTTTTTATTATTATTACCAGATATTATGATAACTTCAGTTGGGATTTGTTGACGGGTATTTCCAGTGTTACGTGATCGCGGTGATCAGCTGATAATGTTTTCTGAGATGGGGGAAATAATCGTGTCATTGGAAAACTTGAGTTTATTGAAAATGTCAGTAAATTTTGGGAGCCATGCTTTACCGCGTGCTATAACCGAGTTAGCGCTATATTGAGGGCGCTATATTGAAGGGCACAATAACGAGGGAACACTGTAGTTTCAAATCATTCAATCTTCTCATAAAATGTGTAACCCCCCAAAGCACTGTTCTACGTTCTTACACAGGTCAAATGTATAACACACTCGAACAAAGTTCAATATTTCCCTGCACAAATATGGGATCACATCAAGGAAAGTAATGAGGTGTGGCATGAACAACATCAACACATAACCCCTTACAACAAACCTGTCATGTATCTCATGCAACTACACTATTTCCTAGTTGGACAGTTTAACCCACCAAGTGTGTGGATTAAGTCCACTTTAATATGTGAACTGTTATTTCTAATTAAATAAGTTGTTTTAACACAATGTTTCTGTTCGAAATTCCCGTATTTGGGTGAAACACATATTGCCACCTCAACTATAGCACATAACTAACTCGAAACAGTCGTCACGTTCTGACGGTTCATCGTGTACGTGAAAACCAATAATTTCATGTTCATTTCTAGTTTGTCCGGGTATGTTTTGGCTCACTGTCTCTCTGCTGCAGTTGCTCCACAAGTCCGAGAACTTGATTGAACTCACATTGTTTTACAGTCGCATCAGGGCAGTCTGTCCTAGCTCTACAGGTATATGAAAATACTCACACATGTCCCCAACACTTAAGGTATATGAAAAAACTCACACGCCCCAACAATACAGGCATATGTTTATACTCACACATGCCCCAACACTACAGGTATATGAATATACTCACACATGCCCCAACACTACAGGTATATGAATATACTCACACATGCCCCAACACTACAGGAATATGAATATACTCACACATGCCCCAACACTACAGGTATATGAATATACTCACACATGCCCTAACACTACAGGTATATGAATATACTCACACTCCCCAACACTACAGGTATATGAATATACTCATACATGCCCCAACACTACAGGTATATGAATATACTACCACATGCCCAAACACTACAGGTATATGAATATACTCACACATGCCCTAACACTACAGGTATATGAATATACTCACACATGCCCCAACACTACAGGTATATGAATATACTCACTCCCCAACACTACAGGTATATGAATATACTCACACATGCCCCAACACTACAGGTATATGAATATACTCACACATGCCCCCAACACTACAGGTATATGAATATACTCACACATGCCCCCAACACTACAGGTATATGAATATACTACCACATGCCCCAACACTGCAGGTATAAGAATATACTCACACATGCCCCAACACTACAGGTATATGAATATACTCATACATGCCCTAACACTACAGGTATATGAATATACTCACACATGCCCCAACACTACAGGTATATGAATATACTCACACATGCCCCAACACTACAGGTATATGAATATACTCACACATGCCCCAACACTACAGGTATATGAATATACTCATACATGCCCTAACACTACAGGTATATGAATATACTCACACATGCCCCCAACACTGCAGGTATATGAATATACTCACACATGCCCCAACACTACAGGTATATGAATATACTCACACATGCCCTAACACTACAGGTATATGAATATACTCACACATGCCCAAACACTACAGGTATATGAATATACTCACACATGCCCCAACACTACAGGTATATGAATATACTCACACATGCCCCCAACACTGCAGGTATATGAATATACTACCACATGCCCAAACACTGCAGGTATATGAATATACTCACACATGCCCCAACACTACAGGTATATGAATATACTCACACATGCCCCCAACACTACAGGTATATGAATATACTACCACATGCCCAAACACTTCAGGTATATGAATATACTCACACATGCCCCCAACACTGCAGGTATATGAATATACTACCACATGCCCAAACACTGCAGGTATATGAATATACTCACACATGCCCCAACACTACAGGTATATGAATATACTCACACATGCCCCAACACTACAGGTATATGAATATACTCACACATGCCCCCAACACTACAGGTATATGAATATACTCACACATGCCCCCAACACTACAGGTATATGAATATACTCACACATGCCCCAACACTACAGGTATATGAATATACTCACACATGCCCCCAACACTGCAGGTATATGAATATACTACCACATGCCCAAACACTGCAGGTATATGAATATACTCACACATGCCCCAACACTACAGGTATATGAATATACTCACACATGCCCCCAACACTGCAGGTATATGAATATACTACCACATGCCCAAACACTGCAGGTATATGAATATATTCACACATGCCCCAACACTACAGGTATATGAATATACTCACACATGCCCCAACACTACAGGTATATGAATATACTCACACATGCCCCCAACACTGCAGGTATATGAATATACTACCACATGCCCAAACACTGCAGGTATATCAATATACTCACACATGCCCCAACACTACAGGTATATGAATATACTCACACATGCCCCAACACTACAGGTATAAGAATATACTCACACATGCCCTAACACTACAGGTATATGTATATACTTACACATGCCCCAACACTACAGGTATAAGAATATACTCACACATGCCCCAACACTACAGGTATATGAATATACTCACACATGCCCCCAACACTGCAGGTATATGAATATACTCACACATGCCCCAACACTACAGGTATATGAATATACTCACACATGCCCCAACACTGCAGGTATATGAATATACTCACACATGCCCCCAACACTGCAGGTATATGAATATACTCACACATGCCCTAACACTGCAGGTATATGAATATACTCACACATGCCCTAACACTACAGGTATATGAATATACTCACACATGCCCTAACACTACAGGTATATGAATATACTCACACATGCCCTAACACTACAGGTATATGAATAAACTCACACATGCCCCAACACTACAGGTATATGAATATACTCACACATGCCCCCAACACTGCAGGTATATGAATATACTCACACATGCCCTAACACTACAGGTATATGAATATACTACCACATGCCCCAACACTACAGGTATATGAATATACTCACACATGCCCTAACACTACAGGTATATGAATATACTCACACATGCCCTAACACTACAGGTATATGAATATACTCACACATGCCCTAACACTACAGGTATATGAATATACTCACACATGCCCCAACACTACAGGTATATGAATATACTCACACATGCCCCCAACACTGCAGGTATATGAATATACTCACACATGCCCCAACACTACAGGTATATGAATATACTCACACATGCCCCAACACTACAGGTATATGAATATACTCACACATGCCCCCAACACTGCAGGTATATGAATATACTCACACATGCCCCCAACACTGCAGGTATATGAATATACTCACACATGCCCCCAACACTACAGGTATATGAATATACTCACACATGCCCCAACACTGCAGGTATAAGAATATACTCACACATGCCCCAACACTACAGGTATATGAATATACTCACACATGCCCCAACACTACAGGTATATGAATATACTCACACATGCCCCAACACTGCAGGTATATGAATATACTCACACATGCCCCAACACTGCAGGTATATGAATATACTCACACATGCCCCAACACTACAGGTATATGAATATACTCACACATGCCCCCAACACTACAGGTATATGAATATACTCACACATGCCCCAACACTACAGGTATATGAATATACTCACACATGCCCCCAACACTGCAGGTATATGAATATACTCACACATGCCCCAACACTACAGGTATATGAATATACTCACACATGCCCCAACACTGCAGGTATATGAATATACTCACACATGCCCCCAACACTGCAGGTATATGAATATACTCACATGCCCTAACACTACAGGTATATGAATATACTCACACATGCCCCAACACTACAGGTATATGAATATACTCACACATGCCCCCAACACTACAGGTATATGAATATACTCACACATGCCCCCAACACTGCAGGTATATGAATATACTCACACATGCCCCAACACTACAGGTATATGAATATACTCACACATGCCCCCAGGAATGAACATGATGACCCACCACCAGATGTTCAACATGGTGGCGTGGTGGAAGACGTGTAGGAATGTGATCTGGTTGAACTTTTTGCGCAGTATCATTAGAAGTGTGTCATTGAACTCGATCACTTTGGAAAAGAAGTACCACCACATGACCTTGGCAACCTGAAGAGAACACCTGTATTAGCAACATCGACACAGAACCGCTAAACGCTGTTGACACCTACTACATCTCATCTACCTCTCTCCTGACGAGCTGCTCCAGTCCACGGAGAGATGCTGAGGCAGGCAATGGTTCACAGTTGAATTGTTTAACACCACAGTGGGTAACATTTCAGTTATGGCGGCCTGTGTATGAATTAATCTGGGCCAGGTTAACAAGTTACATAAAGTGAGTGAGTGAGTGAGTGAGTATGGTTTTACGCCGCTTTTAGCAATATTCCAGCAATGACATAAAGTGAACAACGTGCCAAGCCATCAGAGTTCAAAAACACAATCAGCCATATTACAGATCCCACCACCGAATTCCCCGTCATCACCATTACAACCCAGAACCTCGATGGATATCCCCACCGGGTGTGCTCGGAGCGAGGGGGGTGTTGACATTGATGAGAGTGGGATACTCAATAACAAGACACACACTTGTTTGAGTGACCAGTGATCCTGTTGAGCCACTCTTTCAGTGGGCGTGGCTGGGGCAAACTGGCATTCTGGTACGTTTCACCAAGATGTTAGAATGCACTTAAAGAAATCAAAACGTGTTGATCCAAACTGTAACCTATTGTCTCCACCCGACACATCACTCAATGTCAAGCCACAGACTGGAACCAGCACCCAACCATGAAGGAGGGTGGTACCCTTTCTCCGAGGCGACTGGGTCACGCCCACCCGGGAACATACCCTCATTTCCTTCGGGTTAGCCCAGCTGCCTTGGTTGTAGTTGGCGCACCACATGTCGTAGCCCGCGTCCACCACGCTCACGATGATCTGCAATCAAGTAGAATTATTGCATTGGTCACGCAGTCAAAGTTATTCATCACTTGTGCAGGCCCATGGTCACATGTCTATATAGTCACTGAGTTTTCAAGTTTTCATTCAGAACATACATTTTCTTGATTTTACATGAGATTAATATTTAGGCTTAACCACTTCCAGTTAAACATTTCATAATGTTCTGAAGACTTTCTTTGCTTGTACCTCGATGAACATGTAGGTGGACAGTACGACCAGCCCTAGGTTGTAGACAACCATGAGCCACTGCAGGGAGAACGGCTGCCGGTTCTTCATGATGCGCGGCCCCACCAGTACCATCATCAGGTAGAGCCCTGTCGCCACCCACACCGGCACCGGGCTGTCGGATACCAGCAGCCAGTGCCGTGTCCGTGGATCTGGAACCGCAAACCACGCCATCAGTACAGCTACACCATCTGTACAGCCACACCATCAGTACAGCCACGCCCTCAGTACCACCACGCCCTCAGTACAGCCACACCATCAGTACAGCCACACCCTCAGTACAGCCACACCATCAGTACAGCCACACCATCAGTACAGCCACACCCTCAGTACCACCACACCATCAGTACAGCCACACCGTCAGTACAGCCACACCGCCACACCATCCGTACCACCACGCCATCAGTACAGCCACACCATCAGAATAGCCACACCATCAGCACCACATCATCTGTATAGCCACACCATCAGTACAGCCACACCATCAGTACAGACACACCATCAGTACAGCCACACCATCAGTACAGCCACACCAGCACCTAACCATCAGTACAGCCACACCATCAGTACCACCATCAGTACAGCCACACCGTCAGTACAGCCACACCATCAGTACCACCACACCATCAGTACAGCCACGCCTTCAGTACAGCCAAGCCATCAGTACAGCCACACCATCAGTACAGCCACACCATCAGTACAGCCACACCATCAGTACAGCCACACCATCAGTACAGCCACACCATCAGAATAGCCACACCATCAGCACCACATCATCTGTACAGCCACACCATCAGTACAGCCACACCATCAGTACAGACACACCATCAGTACAGACACACCATCAGTACCACCACACCAGCACCTAACCATCAGTACAGCCACACCATCAGTACCACCATCAGTACAGCCACACCGTCAGTACAGCCACACCATCAGTACCACCACACCATCAGTACAGCCACGCCTTCAGTACAGCCACGCCTTCAGTACAGCCACGCCATCAGTACAGCCACACCATCAGTACAGCCACACCATCAGTACAGCCACACCATCAGTACCACCACACCATCAGCACCACACCATCAGTACCACCACGCCGTCAGTACAGCCACACCATCAGTACCACCACACCATCAGTACGACACCATCAGCACCACCACACCATCAGTACAGCCACACCATCAGCACCACACCATCAGTACCACCACACCATCAGTACAGCCACACCATCAGTACAGCCACACCATCAGCACCACACCATCAGTACAGCCACACCATCAGCACCACACCATCAGTACAGCCACACCATCAGCACAATGCCATCAGTACAGCCACACCATCAGTACCACCACACCATCAGTACAGCCACACCATCAGTACCACCACGCCATCAGCACCACACCATCAGTACAGCCACACCATCAGTACAGCCACACCATCAGCACCACACCATCAGTACAGCCACACCATCAGCACCACGCCATCAGTACAGCCACACCATCAGTACAGCCACACCATCAGTACAGCCACACCATCAGCACCACACCATCAGTACAGCCACACCATCAGCACAGCCACACCATCAGTACAGCCACACCATCAGTACAGCCACACCATCAGCACCACACCATCAGTACCACCACACCATCAGTACAGCCACACTATCAGTACAGCCACACCATCAGCACCACACTATCAGTACAGCCACACCATCAGCACCACACCATCAGTACCACCACACCATCAGTACAGCCACACCATCAGTACAGCCACACCATCAGCACCACACCATCAGTACAGCCACACCATCAGCACCACGCCATCAGTACAGCCACACCATCAGTACAGCCACACCATCTGTACAGCCACACCCCTCACCTAACCATCAGTACAGCCACACCATCAGTACAGCCACACCATCAGTACAGCCACACCATCAGCACCACACCATCCGTACAGCACATAGAGACACCAAACTGAGTGTCCCTGGGAACATGGCTAAACATCTGTGTTTGTTTCAAAATGAGACATTTTAACTATGCAGTGTATGTAAAAATATAAAACTACCAGTAAACATCAAGATCTATTTCTCATCACTTGGACATTAAGTCATGTGCACGTGTAAACAGTTTGACGATGCACTGAACATATTTTTGAGTTTAACTTTTATAGATAGTTTTAACATCAGCATAGCCACCAACTCTGGTGTTGCGATCTTCTGATGACGACATCAAAGCCTGACAATATGAACTGTCTACAGACATGTGATTCCAAAACTCAGTTGATAATTTCATTACCTAGTTACTATTTCTACAACAGAGGTTCCGAAAATATGTGTGGATTGTTGATTGGACAGGTGTAACACTATAGATAGAATTCATACCTGTCGATAAAAGAGACATGTTCCTAGCAGGCGGTGTGAGGCTTAATAACTACCCTTTCTTTAGTGTCTATGACAATTTAGTCCTTGTGTCATTCATTTTGTTAATTGGCATTTATCCACATGGATTAAGGAAGAAGTTGTTGTTGTAGTTTAGTTGCAAACTGGTGACAAATACAAACATGTAGGAACAGTTAGCAGCAAGTCTCTAACTTTCAACATCAGGGTTATCACAATGACCCCTGGACTATCAAGTTTCATCTAACACCCTGAGGAGACAAAACAATTTCCCATGAGTGGCCACACAAAGTTCATTTGCACTTTTACAAAGTGTATTGCCACTGGGGACAATCATGATAATATCACACTGTCCGATGTGAGGCGAGTTTATCACAAACATCAATAGCATATTACACAGGGGTGGCCTTATCAATAAACTGATCATCATGTAAAGAGGCGAACTGACACTGACAATCTGGCCACCATTGCCTCATTAACAACTGACAAGGACCTGCACACTGCAGATTGATTGATTCTATCACACCCAAGGATTCCTCCCATCCACTGTTCCCCAGCCTGGCTAAGCTGGGAGGATCTATCAGTGAAATAATGAGATGATATCACTGTGGAATAGTGTACATGCCAGCTGCAAATTTATATCTCCTCTAGCTGCCATGTCCAAATGATTTTATAAACCAAGCAGAAGTGCCATTGACCCGGCCAAAAACAGGATGAGCCAGATCCACCAACCTGGTACCGCGCCTTCATACTGCTGCAACAGCTGCTGAATCTTGCTGGCCATTGGTCAACAACAGTAGGACCTGAAACACGATAATAACATTGGTCAACAACAGGAGGACCTGAAACACGATAATTACATTGGTCAACAACAGGAGAACCTGAAACACGATAATTACATTGGTCAACAACAGGAGGACCTGAAACACGATAATTACAATGGTCAACAACAGGAGGACCTGAAACACGATAATTACATTGGTCAACAACAGTAGGACCTGAAACACGATAATTACATTGGTCAACAACAGGAGGACCTGAAACACGATAATTACATTGGTCAACAACAGTAGGACCTGAAACACGATAATAACATTGGTCAACAACAGGAGGACCTGAAACACGATAATTACATTGGTCATCAACAGGAGGACCTGAAACACGATAATTACATTGGTCAACAACAGGAGGACCTGAAACATGATAATTACATTGGTCAACAACAGGAGGACCTGAAACACAATAATAACATTGGTCAACAACAGGAGGACCTGAAACACGATAATTACATTGGTCAACAACTGGAGGACCTGAAACATGATAATTACATTGGTCAACAACAGGAGGACCTGAAACATGATAATTACATTGGTCAACAACAGGAGGACCTGAAACACGATAATTACATTGGTCAACAACAGGAGGACCTGAAACATGATAATTACATTGGTCAACAACAGGAGGACCTGAAACACGATAATTACATTGGTCAACAACAGGAGGACCTGAAACACGATAATTAAATTGGTCAACAACAGTAGGACCTGAAACACGATAATTACATTGGTCAACAACAGGAGGACCTGAAACACGATAATTACATTGGTCAACAACAGGAGGACCTGAAACACGATAATTTCATTGGTCAACAACAGTAGGACCTGAAACACGATAACAACATTGGTCAACAAGAGGAGGACCTGAAACACGATAATTACATTGGTCAACAACAGTAGGACCTGAAACACGATAATTACATTGGTCAACAACAGTAGGACCTGAAACACGATAATTACATTGGTCAACAACAGGAGGACCTGAAACACAATAATTACATTGGTCAACAACAGTAGGACCTGAAACACGATAATTACATTGGTCAACAAGAGGAGGACCTGAAACACGATAATTACATTGGTCAACAACAGTAGGACCTGAAACACGATAATTACATTGGTCAACAACAGGAGGACCTGAAACACGATAATTACATTGGTCAACAACTGGAGGACCTGAAACACGATAATTACATTGGTCAACAACATGAGGACCTGAAACACAATAATTACATTGGTCAACAACAGTAGGACCTGAAACACGATAATTACATTGGTCAACAACAGTAGGACCTGAAACACGATAATTACATTGGTCAACAACAGGAGGACCTGAAACATGATAATTACATTGGTCAACAACAGGAGGACCTGAAACACGATAATTACATTGGTCAACAACAGGAGGACCTGAAACACGATAATAACATTGGTCAACAACAGGAGGACCTGAAACACGATAATTACATTGGTCAACAACAGGAGGACCTGAAACACGATAATTACATTGGTAAACAACAGGAGGACCTGAAACACGATAATTACATTGGTCAACAACAGTAGGACCTGAAACATCATAATTACATTGGTCAACAACTGGAGGACCTGAAACACGATAATTACATTGGTCAACACTAACTGACTGAGTATGGTTTTACGCCGCTTTTAGCAATATTCCAGCAATATCACGGCGGGGGACACCAGAAATGGGCTTCACACATTGTACCCATGTCGGGAATCGAACCCGGGTCTTCGGCGTGACGAGCGAACGCTTTAACCACTAGGCTACCTGACCGCCCACACTGGTCAACAACAGGAGGACCTGAAACATCATAATTACATTGGTCAACAACAGGAGGACCTGAAACATCATAATTACATTGGTCAACAACAGTAGGACCTGAAACATAATAATTACATTGGTCAACAACTGGAGGACCTGAAACATCATAATTACATCATATAACAGGGAAAGAGGCTGCACAGTGAAGCATGACTTTCACCAATCCATAAAGTGAATGAATAACGTTTACCAGGTATAGATCCACAATATACCAGCCCTTAGCCCTCCTGTTTCAGGCCTCCACTAACTACTAACCTGGCGCATACGATTGGCTTCCACTCACAATGCCCCAAATAGTGAGTGAATTGGTCACATTCGTGTGGGGACAAACTTTGTCTGAATTAACAAAGGCTAATAACCCTGTAGCCATGACCTGTATATGCCCAGAATCACTTAATTATGGTCATTCATAAGATGCTAATCCCAGTTGTTAGTCCCCATTGTATTGTACATTGACCGTCTGACATCCTGCACCAGATGTGCAACTATGTCACTGATTAATTTCTGTTGCATATATTTTTGACTTAATCCATGTCAGGTGACCTTAGCTATATACACGCTTTTTGGTCCATTGATAAAAAAAGAGAGGAGGTTTTTACCCTCAGCCTGACCTGGCACATAGTGCTTCTTGTTTACATCATGCATATATATCTAAGGAAGAGAATATATGGATGTCAACTTCTTTATTATGAGGAACACAATGTTTCGGAGTATATGCTTACACCTTCATCACCTGAGTTCTTCATCATGCTAAAATTAAAAAGAAGTTGACATCCATATTTTCTCTTCCTTATGTGTATCACTTCTAAATACCTTTCAAAGACCTCATATATATCTACCTGTATAAAGTAAACTTGTATATAACGCAAGCCATAGGCTCCATGTTGTCACTTCCAACTGAGAACCATATGCTGACCCCATGCATATATGTAAGCAAATAAACATAAATCAACGTCACACCTACCCATTGATAATTTGGAGGAGATGCGTTGTTGCCATAGCGATTGATTTGGGACCACCTTTGTCTGAATGGCTAATAACCCTGTAGCCATGACAGGAGATTGAGAAATGCAACAAAATATTTTAAAACACTTATCTCTTGGAGAGTACAGAAAAATCATTAATTTAAACTACAACCTGACAGTTATATTAGCCCTGTCTGTTATTATTTCTTAGTTCCGTATGATTATCGGCAAAAGTATTAGTTCATGTCATGTTGTCCAGCCTCCCTATGTAGCTCCTACAGTACAGACAGAAGGCTTCCCACAAGCACTTGAGCAGCTGTCATGGCAACTAATGTCAATGTGATAGGAAATTAAAACAAATAACAAACTTTTGTTATAACAAACTCAAGGTGAACACTAATATTAGTTCGTTATAACCGTAGTTCGTTAAAAGCATACTAGTACACTAACAATACAGTTACTTATATCTGTTGCTTCATTATAAGTGTGCTGGTTATAATAGTAGTGTACTGTACTTGAATGTGTTTTTACTCAAAAACATACATCTCCCCCTCCCATTTTTGATACATTAGTTCAAGTTGCTGCTGTATATGATTTTGCAAATCCCAAAACAAGCAAGAAATACTAATATCCCCAGCCAATATGACAAGTCCTGTTGTGTGCAAAGCAAGAAATATTGTACGGTTTGAAAGATATGCTCCGGAAACGTGCACTACCGCCATTTTCAGTCTAAGTCATAGTCGTGGCCGTGGAAACTCGGAAAATACAATTTTTTTTAAATCCCAAACTGTCAGAAGTCACAAGTTCACCACTAGACCTATCTACGTGCCAAATTTGGTTGAAGATATCTCTCATGGTTTTTCAGTTCTGCTCCGGAAACGAAAAATTGTGGAGGGAAGGACAGAAGAACAGACTCACACACGGACAGACACACAGACACACTCACATGGACACATTCACACTCACATGGACACATTCACTCACATGGACACATTCACTAACATGGACACATTCACACTCACATGGACACATTCACACTCACATGGACACATTCACACTCACATGGACACATTCACACTCGCATGGACACATTGGACACTCGCATGGACACATTCACACTCACATGGACACATTTACACTCACATGGACACATACACTCACATGGACACATTCACACTCACATGGACACATTCACACTCACATGGACACATTAACGCTCACATGGACACATTCACGCTCACATGGACACATTCACACTTACATGGACACATTCGCACCCACATGGACACATTCGCACTGGCATGGACACATTCACACTCACATGGACACATTCACACTCACATGGACATTCACACTCACATGGACACATTCACACTCACATGGACACATTCACACTCACATGGACACATTCACACTCACATGGACACATACACTCACATGGACACATTCACACTCACATGGACACATTCACACTCACATGGACACATTCACACACATGGACACATTCACACACATGGACACATTCACAATCGCATGGGCACATTCACACTCACATGGACACATTCACACTCACATGGACACATTCACACTCACATGGACACATTCACAATCGCATGGGCACATTCACACTCACATGGACACATTCACACTCGCATGGACACATTCACACTCACATGGACACATTCGACTGGCATGGACACATTCACACTCACATGGACACATTCACACTCACATGGACATTCACACTCACATGGACACATTCACACTCACATGGACACATTCACACTCACATGGACACATTCACATGGACACATTCACACACATGGACACATTCACAATCGCATGGACACATTCACAATCACATGGGCACATTCACTCACATGGACACATTCACACTCACATGGACACATTCGCACTCACATGGACACATTCACACTCACATGGACACATTCGCACTGGCATGGACACATTCACACTCACATGGACACATTCACACTCACATGGACATTCACACTCACATGGACACATTCACACTCACATGGACACATTCACATGGGCACATTCACTCACATGGACACATTCACACTCACATGGACATTCACACTCACATGGACACATTCACACTCACATGGACACATTCACATGGGCACATTCACTCACATGGACACATTCACACTCACATGGACACATTCACACTCTCATGGACACATTGGACACATTCACACTCGCATGGACACATTCACACTCACATGGACACATTCACACTCACATGGACTCATTCACACTCGCATGGACACATTGGACACATTCACACTCGCATGGACACATTCACACTCACATGGACACATTTACACTCACATGGACACATACACTCACATGGACACATTCACACTCACATGGACACATTCACACTCACATGGACACATTCACACTCACATGGACACATTAACGCTCACATGGACACATTCACGCTCACATGGACACATTCACACTTACATGGACACATTCACACCCACATGGACACATTCACACTGGCATGGACACATTCACACTCACATGGACACATTCACACTCACATGGACATTCACACTCACATGGACATTCACACTCACATGGACACATTCACACTCACATGGACACATACACTCACATGGACACATTCACACTCACATGGACACATTCACACTCACATGGACACATTCACACTCACATGGACACATTCACACACATGGACACATTCACACACACATGGACACATTCACAATCGCATGGGCACATTCACACTCACATGGACACATTCACACTCACATGGACACATTCACACTCACATGGACACATTCACAATCGCATGGGCACATTCACACTCACATGGACACATTCACACTCACATGGACACATTCACACTCACATGGACACATTCACACTCACATGGACACATTCACACTCACATGGACACATTCACACACATGGACACATTCACACACACATGGACACATTCACAATCGCATGGGCACATTCACACTCACATGGACACATTCACACTCACATGGACACATTCACACTCACATGGACACATTCACAATCGCATGGGCACATTCACACTCACATGGACACATTCACACTCACATGGACACATTCACACTCACATGGACACATTCGCACTGGCATGGACACATTCACACTCACATGGACACATTCACACTCACATGGACATTCACACTCACATGGACACATTCACACTCACATGGACACATTCACACTCACATGGACACATTCACACTCACATGGACACATTCACACACATGGACACATTCACAATCGCATGGACACATTCACAATCGCATGGGCACATTCACTCACATGGACACATTCACTCACATGGACACATTCGCACTCACATGGACACATTCACACTCACATGGACACATTCGCACTGGCATGGACACATTCACACTCACATGGACACATTCACACTCACATGGACACATTCACATGGGCACATTCACACACATGGACACATACACTCACATGGACACATTCACATTCACACTCACATGGACACATTCACACTCACATGGACACATTCACACACAGACTCACATGGAAAGACGCACATGGACCCACCCAGACACATGGACCCACCCAGACACATGGACAGACAGAGACTCAGACTCAAGACTCACTGACACACACTCACAGGCAGACACACTCATTGAGCAGTAGAGGACAAACGTAGTTAATAAAACTGAATTAAACCTTCTGGGTTGTACTTCCTCAGCTGATGTTTCTGTAAAAGACTTGCACACACTTGTAAGGGTTTGGTCATAGTAGGGGTGGTGATAAAGATTACGAACAGATTTGTCTAAAAGGTGGGTGCTTATTGGAGCAAGGTGCTTGCAAATGGCAATTTAAATATCAATTTGTGGTTGTAAGCATAAAAATCTTGACATTTAATGAATATGTGAACATTTTGAGTAAACATCTGGTATTGAATAAACATCTTGACAATAGATTTGGGTTACCTGGAATCTTGATAATTGATCCTTACATTGATCATGTTGATAGATTGATAGAGGGAAATCAATACATGATCATGCATCAATCATCACCTGTCTGTCCCAGCATGTGAACATCTTCCAACATCATGTAGAGTGAGGGAGATTGGTTTGTTCCTCGATCATCACATTCAAGGCAGCTCAGCATTGGACAAAACTTGTGGTCATTGGACAAATCTGGTGTATGTATTAACCAATGGCTGAAGTGGTGCCTTTTGCTATTTAGGAATTTTTCAAAATTTGATTTTTCAGTGTTTCCTTGGAAACAAGTTTGACTTTGACTCTTTTTAATATTCCTAGTGGTACGTTTGTCCAGACCATATCTCTAAAACTGACAGGTATTGTTTCTTGAAACTGTGCACACACAAAGACCAGGTTGTCAACTGCTATGTAACATGTTTAAAAAACTTTAGAACTAATATTTTTCTGTTTCAATGGCAACAAGTTTGATTTTGACTCTGTTCATATTGGTGTAAACCTGACATAGAAATAGAAAGTTCTGAATCCCAATTCCATGGTATTGTTTTGATAGCCCAATAACCACTCTTGTAAATATAGACAGATTAGATAGAAATCCTCTAAAAAAAGTAGCAACCAGATGATTTTTTCTTTTGAACTTGTTGGGGCCGGGGGCATTTGTCATCTGCTGACTCTTGTTCAATTTATTGTTTTTTTGGTTGTGTTTCCATGGAAACAATTTGGACTAAGTCTCAAACAAGTAGCTTTTGTTTCCTGTCCAAACTCTACCGCTAATGATTATTTCTGCATGACACTATCTTCTTTTCAGGCTGTAATTTGCCATTATCATCCCCCACCACGAAGTGGAAGGGGGATATGGGAATGGGTGCTGTCTGTCCTTCCATGTGTGAGTGTGTGTCTGTCCATGTGTGTCCATGTGTGTGTGTCTGTCCATGTGTGTCCGTGTGTGTGTGTCTGTCCATGTGTGTCCATGTCAGTGGGCTCGTGTGTGAGTGTGCGTCTATTAATCCTAACCGGCCTGAAAATTCAAAAACTTAAAAAACTAAAAGCTAAATATACATGAAATCTACAACAGTCACACACAACCACCAGAAACTATTGTTGGTACTTACCAAGTAGATATGTGTAGAAGTATTTCAACCAAGTTGCCCTGTGGCCCTGAACTGCCTCACAGACTAATGTGTTAGTTGTAATGAGCTGCAATTATAGCTTGCAACATACCACGAGCTGCAATCTCCCAGTACAACCGACTCGGCTACAGCAGCACCCACTAGCTCTGTCAGACCAATGAATATTCATGAGACATGCCCTGTACGTATCTCGTGGGTACAGCATATATACGGCAAACTTCAAACACATCCACACAAAGGAGATGTGGTTGTTTGTTTGCCGGGGAACATGCGAGCTGATTACGGCATGAGGTCTACGTCCGTGTTAATACTAGCAAGGCGAAAACGTAAACTCATGAATAGTCCAGCAGCCACTATTCCCTGTTGAGCTCCTAGCAAACTTAGCAACAATGTTTGATGATCACCTCACTAAAAAAAGCAATATAGCACAAACACTTCGTTTGGGAAAAGGCACATAGCTTTCAGGGATGCAGCAGTTGGAGCAGGGACGGATCAAGGTCTGAAATTATTTACTGAAAAAAAAACTTGGGGCCACACTGGCTATATTTTGTGGTTTTCCGGACTTTATGCAAGGTAATACTTTGGTGGAAAATAAATACATTTGTACTGTTCATTTATACAGTTTATTTTGGTTTGTTTGGTTCAAGTGGGTGAATTAAATACTGTTTCTGTTTGAAGTGCAGGATGTTTGGGTAAGCACTGTTTCTCTTTAAGACATCAATGCATTTGATCAAATGTGTAACATGTTAAAAGTTAATTTTATAAATATTATTTTGTAGGGTTTGTTTGTTTCTTTGGGTCATTACTCGGGTATTTTATTTAAGAATGTCATGACATTTTCTACTTATCTGTATAATCTGTATCAGACTTATCTCAATTCTGTATCTCCAAAATGAATGTAATCAGGGGGGTACTGCATGTAAACAAAACCATGCTATTCTACTGCTGTGGATACTTAATACACCCTGTTTCCAAAGTGTCATGCCATCCAGTAATCCTTACCTAAAGAAGGTGTTATCTGTGCTTGTCTTCTGTGGAGGTTTTCATTTGTCAGGACTGACATGTCCAAAATCGAGGTGAACAACATAGTTAATATTACCTTGCATTAACATACCCCTTTCTGATTGTTGGAACTGTGAATAACATTGTTTATCTGACCTTGCATCAACATACACTTTCTGATTGTTGGAACTGTGAACAACATTGTTTATCTTACGTTGCATCAACATACCCCTTTCTGATTGTTGGAACTGTGAACAACATTGTTTATCTTACGTTGCATCAACATACCCCTTTCTGATTGTTGGAACTGTGAACAACATTGTTTATCTTACCTTGCATCAACATACCCCTTTCTGATTGTTGAAACTGTTAATAACATTGTTTATCTTACCTTGCATTAACATACCCCTTTCCGATTTTGTTGAAACTGTGAATAACATTGTTTATCTTACCTTGCATCAACATACCCCTTTCTGATTGTTGGAACTGTGAATAACATTGTTTATCTTACCTTGCATCAACATACCCCTTTCTGATTGTTGAAACTGTTAATAACATTGTTTATCCTACCTTGCATTAACATATCCTTTCCGATTTTGTTGAAACTGTGAATAACATTGTTTATCTTACCTTGCATCAACATACCCCTTTCTGATTGTTGAAACTGTGAATAACATTGTTTATCTTACCTTGCATTAACATACCCCTTTCTGATTGTTGGAACTGTGAACAACATTGTCTATCTTACCTTGCATTAACATACCCCTTTCTGATTGTTGGAACTGTGAACAACATTGTTTATCTTACCTTGCATCAACATACCCCTTTTCTGACGGCTGGAACTGTGAACAACATTGTTTATCTTACCTTGCATTAACATACCCCTTTTCTGATGGTTGGAACTGTGAACAACATTGTTTATCTTACCTTGCATTGACATACCCCTTTCTGATTGTTAGAACTGTGAATAACATTGTTTATCTTACCTTGCATTGACATACCCCTTTCTGATTGTTGGAACTGTGAACAACATTGTTTATCTTACCTTGCATTGACATACCCCTTTCTGATTGTTGGAACTGTGAATTACATTGTTTATCTTACCTTGCATTGACATACCCCTTTCTGATTGTTGGAACTGTGAATTACATTGTTTATCTTACCTTGCATACTGTGAATAATTGTTTATCTTTCCTTGCATTAACATTCCCCTTTCTGATTGTTGAAACTGTTAATAACATTGTTTATCTTACCTTGCATTAACATACCCCTTTCTGATTGTTGGAACTGTGAATAACATTGTTTATCTTACCTTGCATCAACATACCCCTTTCTGATTGTTGGAACTGTGAACAACATTGTTTATCTTACCTTGTATTAACATACCCCTTTCTGATTGTTGGAACTGTGAATAACATTGTTTATCTTACCTTGCATCAACATACCCCTTTCTGATTGTTGAAACTGTTAATAACATTGTTTATCTTACCTTGCATTAACATATCCTTTCCGATTTTGTTGAAACTGTGAATAACATTGTTTATCTTACCTTGCATCAACATACCCCTTTCTGATTGTTGAAACTGTGAATAACATTGTTTATCTTACCTTGCATTAACATACCCCTTTCTGATTGTTGGAACTGTGAACAACATGGTTTATCTTACCTTGCATCAACATACCCCTTTTCTGATGGTTGGAACTGTGAACAACATTGTTTATCTTACCTTGCATTAACATACCCCTTTTCTGATGGTTGGAACTGTGAACAACATTGTTTATCTTACCTTGCATTAACATACCCCTTTCTGATTGTTGGAACTGTGAATAACATTGTTTATCTTACCTTGCATTGACATACCCCTTTCTGATTGTTGGAACTGTGAATAACATTGTTTATCTTACCTTGCATTGACATACCCCTTTCTGATTGTTGGAACTGTGAATTACATTGTTTATCTTACCTTGCATTGACATACCCCTTTCTGATTGTTGGAACTGTGAATTACATTGTTTATCTTACCTTGCATACTGTGAATAATTGTTTTTCTTTCCTTGCATTAACATTCCCCTTTCTGATTGTTGAAACTGTTAATAACATTGTTTATCTTACCTTGCATTAACATACCCCTTTCTGATTGTTGGAACTGTGAACAACATTGTTTATCTTACCTTGTATTAACATACCCCTTTCTGATTGTTGGAACTGTGAATAACATTGTTTATCTTACCTTGCATCAACATACCCCTTTCTGATTGTTGAAACTGTTAATAACATTGTTTATCTTACCTTGCATTAACATATCCTTTCCGATTTTGTTGAAACTGTGAATAACATTGTTTATCTTACCTTGCATCAACATACCCCTTTCTGATTGTTGAAACTGTGAATAACATTGTTTATCTTACCTTGCATTAACATACCCCTTTCTGATTGTTGGAACTGTGAACAACATTGTTTATCTTACCTTGCATTGACATACCCCTTTCTGATTGTTGGAACTGTGAATTACATTGTTTATCTTACCTTGCATTGACATACCCCTTTCTGATTGTTGGAACTGTGAATTACATTGTTTATCTTACCTTGCATACTGTGAATAATTGTTTATCTTTCCTTGCAATAACATTCCCCTTTCTGATTGTTGAAACTGTAAATAACATTGTTTATCTTACCTTGCATTAACATACCCCTTCAGGGTTAGAAACTAACAGTTTTTGTCCACTAGTCCTTATAATGATAACATATAGCAAAACCCTTAAAATTGGCCAATTTTTACTAGTCCTTAGGATACCTTTACCATTGGGCAGTTTGGTAAGGACTACAGGACTAGTGCCAATTTCTAACGCTGCCCTTTCTTATTGTTGGAACTGTGAACAACATTGTTTATCTTACCTTGCATACTGTGAATAACATTGTTTATCTTACCTTGCATTAACCATGTTAACATACCCCTTTGCATTTGCTTTGTGATCAACGTATCAACACATTTGGCAAAGTAGTTTCAGAGATGAAGATACTTTATTTTTGTAACATCATCAACAATGGCCAGCTGAAGTTAAAGGTTCATAAAACAATGTGCAAACATTGAGTTTCCACCTGCCCATCATGCTGTGATTTATTTAATTTATGTTCTTGACTTAAATGCCAGGATTAAATTTTAAACTCAGCCATAGTGCTGCATAACCTGCTCTCTCAGTCTTTATCATTTGGGTTTCTGGGAACATATATATATGTATATATATATATATATTTATTACATGTATTTAAAAAAAAAAAAGGTTAGACTTTATGACATCACAATAGTGAAACTTCACTGCTCAAAATACGGACAGATAGAATTAGACTTTATGACATCACAATAGTGAAACTTAACTGCTCAAAATACTGACAGATAGAATTAGACTTTATGACATCACAATAGTGAAACTTCACTGCTCACAATACGGACAGATAGAATTAGACTTTATGACATCACAATAGTGAAACTTAACTGCTCAAAATACTGACAGATAGAATTAGACTTTATGACATCACAATAGTGAAACTTCACTGCTCACAATACGGACAGATAGAATTAGACTTTATGACATCACAATAGTGAAACTTCACTGCTCACAATACGGACAGATAGAATTAGACTTTATGACATCACAATAGTGAAACTTCACTGCTCAAAATACTGACAGATAGAATTAGACTTTATGACATCACAATAGTGAAACTTCACTGCTCACAATACGGACAGACAGAATTAGACTTTATGACATGAAATGATAACATGGTTAACAGCAGATGTGTCATAACAGAACACATTTTCATAAACATCTGTCTTACAAAACGCACACATCGCTGGCCCCAGCTGCAGTATGTGTCAAACCTATCAACAACCCTCACTCACATGATCAGGTCAGGTAGCCAAGACACCTTCAATCTGTGCAATATCTGGTATACCAAGTGTGTAATATCTCATATACCTATTATGCAATATCTTGTTTGTTGTTAGTTTGTTTGTTGTTTAACGCCGCACTCAGCAATATTCCAACTATATGACGGCGGTCTGTAAATAATTGAGTCTGGACCAGACAATCCAGTGATTGATATCATGAGCATCGATCCACGCAATTGGGATCGATGACATGCAT